GCAAATTTGGTACCGCCTGCGCACTATGAAAGCCAGACTGTCGGGAGGTGCCGCCTGACTGACTCTCATGGTACGACTGAGTTGGCCTCATCGAGGCATTTCGCAAACTGTCCTGAAAATTTGAAGTAGAAGCCGACTCTGATAATCGGTCACTCTTCTTCTGCTCTAGCAGGTGCCGAGCATCTGTGAACGTTTGCTTTGACCCATCCGCCTGAATATGACGAACCGGTTTCCTATTTCCCGTAGGATAACGGAGTTTTGTGAAATCAAGAGCAGACGGCTCCCGCTTCTTAGATTTAGGATGGGGAGTCGCCTCTCGCCCTTGAACTGGCTTCCTCTTCAGTGAAGTGGAAGGTTTTTTGGCCGCCTGCTCTTTGACTGAAGCAGGCGGTTTTTTGTTGATCAACTCTTGGATCTCTCCCTTGAATCCCCTCATGAAGGTCATGAGTTCGTTCCTTGTGATCGGAGCAGACCCATCAGTCGGCTGTTGCCGAGCAAGCGGTGCGCCTGCTGGCTCGCTTCCTGTTTGAAGATACTCCCGTTCCCTTATTTCAGTATGACGGGTACGGCGGGCCCTTAGGGTCCCGTCTGGAGCTGTATGAGTTTCAACTTCAAATTCACTTTCGGTATCATGGTCCGACTGAACTTGAGGGTCGTCTAGGGGACGCCTCTCTTCTGGGGTCGGTACAGACTTGGATGCCATCTCTGAAGTACTCTCCCCACAGACGGCGCCAAATGTTTCGGGGTTTTCTGATGTCCTGCGGGAGAGTTACAATTCCGAGACTGGAACCGGACGCCTGTACCTGCAAAATAACGGAGACTCCTGAGAGCTCCGCCTCCAACGGTCAAGTTAGTACCTGATTAAGGAGTAATTAATACAGAAATTAAGGTAACAAGATCTCTCTAGGTGAGAGTATTTAATGTAGGTAATCTGCTTTGCTAGCGAGATCAGCCGGTTATTAGTGTGTTCCGTAAATTATTCGGTCCCCTGATTAATGAGGATTAATCGAGTATTTATAGCCTTGGGAAGCGTGCAACTCTCTAGGTTTAAGGTAAACCTAGGGCCGATCGGGCTTCTAGACTGAAATGGGCCTTGATGGCCGGTTGTCCCATTTGGCATGGGTGGACACGTGGCGTGTCTTAAGTGGTCCATGGAGGACGCGTGGCGGAACCTGGTTGGTCCACTTGTCAAACGGTGCTTGGTGGATAAAAATCCCCTAATCACCTTCAATAAATAAATACCTTAAGTATCCTACTGAAAAGTAATTGAGAGACACATTCCTTTTCTAATAAGTGAACCCACCTTCATACACTTGGTACTGCCCTCCTCCCTTACGGTTCTTAATCACAAAACCCCCAAATATTCTTAGCTTAATGTCAACCTCATTATCAACAACAGCCATTTGTTTTTATCTACAATTAAAGAGCAATAAACAAAGTACATCAAGCCCTATTTTATTATAAACTGTAACTAAATCAATGCAATTTATTAAAAAAAAGGCATCTCAGTATACCCCCATACCCTACCACATGACTGTGAAAGCATCAATTTTTAATTAGTCAAACCACATTGCTTAAAATAATCAAAGCTCACTAATCTAGGGTTTACTGCATATTCTTCCTAAAATACCCCAACTACAAAGAATTATTGCAAAATTAGCACCATTGTTGGACCACTATAAATAGATAGGGTTACGTACGTTCCAATGCGTCGTTGTCAGGCGAATCTTCAACTTACAACAATGGAGATGACGCTTTCTCGCAGGGCTTTGTCTTCCTCTGCTTCGTTGTTCCAGTTACTGCCTTCCACGCACTCAATTTTCACCTCCAATTTGCAAAAAAGTAGAGATGAGAGATGGAGATGGTGACAGAGGAGAGATAATTGTTCCTAATTTTTTTTTTTTTTAATTTACTCAGCCTTTAATGGAGATGGTTGTGAGTATTCAATGAAGACAATGAAGAGTTAAGGTAGGAGAGAGAAGAACTGAAGGGGTGATAGTTAACTGACGTGGGGCCCACCAAACGGAAAACTTAACAGCTTCAGTCAAATGGTACTGAATTTTGACAACAATGATTTGAGTGGTAGTATAATAAAAAAAAATTTAAGAGGTAGCAAAATTGAGGCGCATGACTTTTAGTGGTAGTAAATTTGAAATTGTCCTAATTAAAATGTATCTGATTCTTCCATATTTAAATTCTATTGCTCTTTTTATCTTTATCAATACATGTATTTATTTATAAGATGTAATTACAACTTATAAAATTATTAGATTAGCCATATATATTATATCTGTTTAATATATGTAATGTCGCGAGCCAATAATATTACCATTGCGTTCATTTCGAGTTATTTGTCAATGTCGGCGAGATAGTCTAATTAGGATTCGTTTTTGAGTTTTAAAGATCAAGAGTTTTCTAGAAGTTTTGCTTACAAGCTTTAATCGTTTGCTTGAAAGAATTTTTCTTGTTTTAAGCACCTTAGGATTTATTTTATCATCTTATCTTTTAGTTAGTTAAGAACCTATTAATTAGTTAGGCTAGTTTGTTTTAATTTAACTAATAAATTAAATTAAGGTCTAGCTTCCTAAATTTAATCGGTTCTTATTCTAATAAGTAGGTTTAGTTTTATTATTTTTGTTTTTCTATCCTATTAGAAATAGCCTTAGATGTTTCTTAGGTCTATAATTACCTTGTATTTCGTGGCTTATATATGGACACAATCAGATTAATAGAAAGTTTATTGCTTTTGCTGACTTGCTCAAGATCAGAGTTGGGTTGAGAGTTATGTTCATCAATACTTAGTTCTAGGAGGTAGTCTATGTTATTAATTGTCAAAGAACTTAGCTCTAAAATGTGGTCTAGGTGATTTAATTAGGCATACAAATCGTTCCAAAAGGTGGGTTGAATTTGTTGTCATATCCGGCTCTCTAAGCTTAATTGTTCAAAATTACTATCAAGTTGAAGATTGTGAGAGTTATAACAACTATACTAAATAAGAGGTTAAGATCTACATCAGTATTTTAATTTTTTCACTCCCAACCATTTTCATATATGTCATTGTGTATTTGTGTTAAAGGTTTAATTAATAAAGAAAAATCATTTTCAATGTTCTTAAATTTGAATCGTCAACAACCATTAACACGAACTTGACCGCCCTTTAATTTGAGCATTATTTATATAATGGCCAAAAATAGAGAGATGACAAGTAAATCCGAACTCGTTTTATTATATGATTAACAACATACTACAATTTTATAGGAAAGAGTTTCAAGAAGATGCAATTCTAAAGATTAACAAAGCTAATATATAGAAAGATGCAAAAAATTAAAGAAAGATAGTGAGACGCAAAGCTAAAGGACAAACAGTAAACAGTTGAGGTTAGTTAACCAAAATAATACTAAGTACAGTTGTAAAATTCAATTAACTTCCAACAATTTTTAGCCTTAATTATCATCAATCATAAAAGTAACGTAGAGACATGCATGCTCTTACAACATTTTCTTCGGCCACCCCATGTGGAAGATTTGTGCATAACTTATACTATTCATATTTTCATCAGTTTCATTCTCCTGTTTTTCTGTAGAATTATGTTTGTTTTCTTATGTTAGTCCACCAAATCTCATGACTTTATTTACATCTTCATAAATAATAATTAATGATAATAATACGAAGTATTGCATATCAACATATGTTATTTATGCATCCCTAAATTGGTAGTTTCTATGTTTGTGCCCTACTCGCTCTTTATGGATATTGGACTATGATTATTCTTAATCTTTATGTTAATAATTGGAGTATTGATGGACATGTTTCTTATCTAACACTTAATAAAATAATCGAAAGGTGAGTTTCTTCATTTCTCTCTTAATCAGTACGGTCTTTACTTAGTTTGAGGAAAATTTCATGATTCTATTAAGCCTTGTTTATTATTTTCATCAGAATTTCAGTTCAATTTATTTTATTTCAACTTTATTAAATAATTTTATTCAATTTAATTCAAATCTATTCAATCCAAAAGAACAAAGACATAGACGTTACATGACAAGTAGTGTTTTTTTTTTTCATTTTTTTTCATAATGCAAACAAATTGTTGGTTTAAGTGTAGTTTAATGAAATATTGGTAATCCATAATTCAATGGTATGGTCAACATTGGACAACAAAAACCAAATTTAAGATTGGGAATGTAACACCTTCTCAACCTAAACATATTAAGTTAAGGGTTGGATTACTTGGATAACCGTTATACTTTAGATGGAAGCAATATAGTACGCCCTAATATGTTAATGTCTTTACTCTTTAGGAGACATTTTAAGCAACAAAATGAAAGGACTGATTTGCCCTCATCTAATACTGAAAGAATGTGTTATGATTATGATTATCTTCTAATTAAAACAACACTGATCAAAAAATGAAAGAAAAAACTAAATACTTATTAGTATAAAGGTCATTATAATAGACAAAATAATCAATGCTCCCAAATTAAAGAAATGTATGATTATTAATTAGGAACCTTGATTAAAAATCCCACAAGTAAACTTGATAATAGTCATCCATCTTTATATATATAGAGTAGTTTATACGTCACATTTCACTTAGAGTAGTTTAAAATAAATTACGGTACATTGTAATTCATCTAAATAACTTGCAATAAAAGGTTTCCTAAACCTATGAAGATATATTCTCTATCAATTGATTTAGCTAATTTGCATGAACTACTTTCTTAATCCATGCAAACTTAGTATATAATTAAATTTTGAATAGAGTCAACAAGTTCATCTTAAACAAGTGATATTCTATTAAAAATGTATGTACATTTTGGCAAGTATAAGATTTTCTGATAAACATTTCATCTAAAAGTGTAGTAGATTGATCTAATTGTGAACTGAATTGCTAAACATCGCCCGCGAATCTCCACATAAAGCCCACAAAATTAGAGTGAAATGTCACTTTTGCCCTCAAAGTAAAAAACACAATTTCTTCTCTCTATTCTCTACTTCCACTTTCTCTCTCTAAAAAACTTTCCGAGCGATGTCGAGGCGGCCCGGCAAGGAAGTGGCGGCACAGGCGGCGGGTGGACAGCGGTTTTCCGGCGAGAAGGTATTTTTTATTAATTTTGTGTTTAAAAATTAAAAAAAAAAAGGTCGGAGGCGGTGGCGGCGCCTAGGCCAGACGCCACCACCACGGCGGAGGCGCCTAGGCCAGACGCCACCACCACGGCGGCGGCGCCTAGGCCAGACGCCGTGACGGTGGCTGTGGCGTCTGGCCCAGGCGCCAAAACCACGGCACCGGCGTCTGGCCTAGGCGCCGCCGCCGTGGTGGTGGCGTCTGGGCTAGACGCCGCCGCCACCGTTACGGCGTCTGGCCTAGGCGCCGCCGCCTTTTTATTTTATTTTTTTTTTTTTTTTTGGTTTTAAATTTGAAATTTAATTTTCGAAAATAATTAATTTTTTTTTGATTTTTTTTTAAATTTGTTTTTCTTTTTTTTAATTTTAAATTTTATGTTCCTCTTTTTTTTTTTTTAATTTTTAATTTTATGTTCTTGTTTATTGTTTTTGTTTTTTTTTTTTTTTGAATTAGTTTTTTTACTTAAAAAAAATTTTATGTTCCCTTTTTTTTTTATAAATTTTTTTTAAAATTTTGATGTTCTTCTTTTTTTAAGTTTTTATAATTTTATATTTTTCACTTTGTTTTTTCCAATTTGTTTTTTTTGGGTAATTTTTTTTTTTTCTTTGTTTTTTCCAATTTTTTATTTATTTATTTATTAGGTTATTAATTTTTTTATTTTTAGGTTGTTAATATTTTGTAATGTTTTTAATTTATTTTCCATCATATGTATATTGTTTTATTTATTTATTTTAATTACTTTTTTTATGTTTATATTACATGTTTATATTGCATATTACATGTTTTGTTATTTTGTGTTAGGCATCGTATTTTCGTTCTGGGGCTGGGAAGAGTATGGACATTATGAGAAGTACGATGAACTCAATGGAGAGCTCGGGGCCCAGACACGTTAGATCCCGTGGTATTTCGGCCTCGGCTCGTAGAGAACGGGTGCACTATTCTGAGGATGATGAAGATGATGATGGTGATGAGGAGGAGGAGGAGGAGGATGCAGATGAGGATGTGGACGATCAGAGTGGACCATATGATGATTACGGTCCATTCAGTCAGAGGCTTGATGATGTGTATGAGACGCGTAGGGTAGACGTGCGTAAGGGTAGAGATGGTAGATTTGTTAGTAGATCTGGCACATCATCTGCGTCCACTGTGTCTGCGGTTAGCAGAAAACGGTCGAGGGCCGTTAATGATTCTTGGGTGGTGAGGGGCGAGGTGGCTGGGGGACCTATAGACGGGAGTGTGATTCCTAGCTTTCTAGGACACATCGCTACCCGTATTTGGGAGGACCAAGAGCGGGCTTTGGATAGCGGCATTTTGAAATGCCAAACCCGGGAGAGGACTTGTAACTTCTTGTGTAGTTGGGCTGAGGCTTGGCCGGAGGAGAGCGAGATGGTCGGCCGATTGAGGGCCACTAGAGTGAGCCACCTTCCTGCCACCATGCATGAGAGGATGCACTAGAGTGAGCTGTTATTGATGAACTGGAACGGGCCCTTGAGCAGTGGCAGTGGGCGTCACAGAGAGATTATTGATATGTCGGCAGTGCATTTATAAAACATTTTCCTAGTTGTTTGTAAAAGTTAACATTATCTGTTCTTATAATTATTATTTTAAGTTCTTAGAATTTGACATTATATTTTTAGTTTTTATAACTTTTATTTTAAGTTGTAATTAGTGGGCATACGAAAACTAAATACAGGTTCACATTTAAATGGGAAAACTAAATACGAAAATTAGAATCCGAAAATTAAATAAATGGGAAAAACATAGCAATAGCAATATTAGGTCACATAGAAAAGGCAACTAGATTGTTCCACTGCTGCACCCGGTCATGATATAACGCATCCCAGCCCTCTACGCTTGCTGTACGAATGGTGTACCACGTTGGTATAATCGGTGGGACCGGAAAATCGGGTGACAGGTCCAGTCGGATGAAATGTCTGTATGACGGCCCCAGAAATCCAATAGCAACCTCTCTTACCGGTCTGGTGACGGTCTCACGCGAACACCAAGGCAGAACCGTGGTACACGGATAGTAAGCTCGAGCATGCAAACCAAGGCCGAAATGCATCACTGCACACTTGTAGATGTTTGCAACGGCGAAGAGATCAAGGGGCGCGTCGAACCAATGATTTTGACCGCAACGTCCTCCTCCCCACCGGATACGCTGCAGAGACCTATCCAAGTCCTGTCCGTACACGTGGCGATAAACAGCTCGGTTTGAGGCGATTTCACTGTACATCAACTGACGCACTAAACCGTAGTTGTCTTCACCCATCTGAAACACATCAGCCACAACCCGAAATCCACAGTTACCATCTGCAACCACATCATTCCACCCGTCCAGGAACGGCATCATGATGTTAGGGATCCTGTCTTTATATGGAAAATGTTCAATGTCCATTCTGCCTGTTGCACACATCAAAAAACACAATTAACAAGTCAGCAGAAAACTTGACAAACACCCAACGGTAACTCGCAACCGTCTCATCCTTCATAACTGCATAACCAATCAAAAAGTTCTGGTTCGTTGGAGTCATCCCAACCATCTCAACCAGTGGAAACTTATACTTGTTTGTCTTGTACGTTGAATCGATCAGAATCACAGATGGCCAAGACGAAATCATATCAGCACAATCAGGATGCACAAGGAACAAATGAGTCACCTCCGATGTGTCTTCATCAGATTCAAACCAGTACAGGTAACCACGTGCTTGTGCCTGGTGTAGAAGCTGCTGTATAGGGTTCCTTCCCTCTGACCGTTCAAACCTCAATTTATGTCTGACGTTGTAGATGTTTCTTCGGTTTGGCTGGTCTTCAGGAAATTTCTCCAACACAGATGCTAATATTTTAGCAGGCTTCACTTGAGCATCACTCATTTCTTTTACAATTAGTTTCGCAGCAGGACTTAGGCCACTTAACTGTCGATGACCCACTTCATATGCGATCATCTCATGGTTGTGATACCCCCATTTACCGTAACTCTTCACTTCCCAACCGTCACCCCTTTGCTGTTGTCGAACCTTTACTCTGAACTGACACCCACAACCTTTCCGCTTTGTATCAAACCGAATCGCTTGACTGAAATCTCGTTCCTCCCTTTTGCGATAACGGTCGCATCTCAAAATGCGATCCATTCTACCATCCCGTTGAGATTTATGAGTTGCTACTACTAAACAAAAACCTGATCTAATTGCAACCTGTTTCGCCCAATCAACCGCTTGTTGAGCATCTTCGAACAGACCATCGTGTACAAAAATCCCACTATAATCATTTCCGTCTCCACCATAATCCTGCAACAATAACATATAAATATAATCACATAAGAGTAGATTAAATTAATACATTTGACACAACATTAGCACAAAAGCAAAAACAATAATAAATTATAAACAACAAACAAAGAAATAAACAAAAAGTATTCAAAAAAAAAAAAAAACAAAACACAAAAATAAAAAACATAAACAAAACTTTAGATTAAATAAATAAAAATAAACCAAAAAAAAAAAAACAAAAAAAAAACATAAAACGAAAAAAATTGTACAAAAAAAATAAAAAATAAATAAATTAAAAACAAAAACAAATTAAAACAATTAAAAACAAAACAAAAAAAAAAAACAAAAAAAAAAGAAAAAAATTGTAACACAAAAAAAAAAAATAAACAAATTTTAAATTAAATTAAAAAAAAAAAAAAATAGTGGTGGCGCCTAGCCAGGACGCCGCCACCGTGGCGGTGGCGTCTAGCCAGGACGCCGCCACCGTGGCGGTGGCGCCTGGCCAGGACGCCGCCACCGTGGCGGCGGCGTCTTGGCCAGACGCCACGGCCACGGTGGCGGCGTCCTGGCCAGGCGCCAGAGTTACGGTGGCGGCGTCCTGGCTAGGCGCCACCACTACGGTCACGGCGTCCCGGCAGGACGCCAGCCGCCAATTCGTGGTTTTAGATGGCTTCGTACCTCCTTTTCCGGCGTCAACGGCGTCTCTCCGGTGCATCTACCCGACGTTGAGGGCTCTTCGGTTTCACTCGGCGATCCAGTCCTGCTCCACATTTTTTATGAGTGAAAAATTTTATTTTCGGTAAAAATTAAAACAAGGGCAATAATGTCAACATTTTTAAAAAATGTGGGCTTTATGTAGAAAAACGCGGGCGATGTTTAACAAATCCCATTGTGAATCCTAGCTAGTTGCCAATCATTAATTAAAGCAATTAAGGAAGACCATTCTTAGCTTAATTAATACCCTTTCCACATGTAAACAAAATTAGGGATTATCTCAATAGTATGGCCCACCTCCGAACTAAAGACTTCCAAAAAGAAAAGAAAAGAAAAAAAGGTCAAAAAAAAAAATATAAAAATATCTGGAACACCTTATTTTAGGACAAAGAAGCAAACATGCCATAATATAGGCTTTAAAAATAAAATAATTTAACAACTTTATTTTATGATTTGTCTGTTTTAAGACACTGAAAAATGGGAAAGTGAATTAGAGAGAGCATGGTGTTTGATGTTTGGGGCATAAAAAGATGGATAAATGGGCTTTTTTAGACGACAATCTAAAATGGGGCTTTTTTTTTTCTTTCAAATTCAATCTCAACTTTAGCGGCAAAACAATAGTTTACGTTGAATATCCTTTTTCACAACGGGCAAACAAACAGTGAAATTGTTGAATCAATTACTTTTTTGATCATATCTTTGCCTTCTGTAAAGGTTTATGTATTACTTCTCCTCCTGTTTCAAAATAAGTGTCTCGTGGAGTGGCATATATGTCTAACGCGGAATTTTGATTGATAGTTTAATAATTTATTAGTATCATTTGTGTAAATTATAAAAAATGATGTAGAGTATACATTGAGATGTTTTTAATTAGTTACATAGTTTATACAGATAGTGTAAAAGTCAAACTTTTGCATTTATTTTGAAACGGATAGAGTATTCATTTTCTCATAGTTCACTTAACATGACAAAATTGACTTGATTCAAAGTTTATTCCACCAAGATTCAAGTTACAAAGTATATGCATATCAGATTATTCAAATTATAGAGTAATTATGTATATTGATATGACCCAAATATTTTCACTAATTTATAATGACTCGATTTTGATCTGATATAGAATATAACTTGATTTAAATGCCTCATTTTTACCTCAACTATCTATCACATATATGAAAATTAAGAATATTATAAGATGGGAACTATGGAAGGACTTTCTGACTTAAATCAATTGATAATGTTTCAATATGAATAACTCTGACCCTCCATTTTACAAGATTCAGATAAGATTTCAGTAAGAAAAATAAATATCTTAGCCCCTCTCTCTTTAACTAGAGTAAAAAAAAAATGTCAATATCACAAGTTCACAATTCACAACTTCACAATATGTACCTTATGGCTTTTGGCTTCTGGCTTCATAGCAGTGGTTGAAAAAAAAAAAAAAAAAAGTAGTGGAGGCAAACACTTAACAAATTTCTATTATAACTTTTCCGTTGCTACTGCCCCCTGGCCGCATTGCTGTACCAGACATGAGGATCATGTCCAGCCAACATTTCTTTTGACAGGGAAATACAGCCGGTGTACTACGTATACATTTTTATCAGGGCGATACAGCCAATGTATTTTTTTTTTTTTTTCCGATAGGGCAAAAGACTATACTTTCCTTTCTAGAAGTAGATTCTATGATGATATTTCCATTGGGTTGTACTTAATTTAGGATCAAGAATGACCTTAAGTTGGAGGGCTGCTTCCACCTCTTGATGGAATTTGATACAATTTCAACATTACCATAGAAAAACTCTACACAACTCTGACTGCAGAGAACTTAGGCCACTGACAAGATCAATGAGCACCCAGTGACCTAACAATGTTATCGGAAATAATTTAAGAGATGGACCGAAAAGGGAGATTGAGCTCAGATAGTCAAAAGCTTACAAGCAAGATCTTATCCCATTTGAAAACTTTGTAGACAGCAGAAAGGCCTGCAAAAATTGAAAAACTAAGGGAACTTTTGGCTAGAAAAATCCATACAAGACCCTGGATGATATGTAGCAAATCGCAATTAGCAAGTACTCAATAGTGTTCTGTCAAGCATTTCTCTAAGCATCAGTGTTTCTGTGTTTCCAAGGATAATATAACTTCAGCCAGCTACTGTTTACACCAAAGGCACAGCTGATATACAAACACAAATTTGCTCTGAATTTTTACGAAAATTTAAACTCAGAAACCTCGGGATAAGTATGATTAAAATACAAGTTCTAATTACTTCTGATGCCGCTCATAAAATCTACGTCACTACTGCATCATTTTGCTCACAGGTTCAAGAGCCTCAACAGTGACCACACTATTGCCTCGGATAACCTAGTAGAACAGAGAATGAAGCAGTCAATCAGCATCTACTGCAGTCAATCTAAAATCAAAGCAGTCAATCTAAAATCAAAGCACATCACCAAAAAAAATTAGAAATCAGGGAAATTCTTAACTCACCACCATGCCTATTTCATTTTTCTCATTGCCATTAACTTCCACAGTGTTGTCAACCACAAGATTCATAAACTGATCAAATCCACGAAGTGTGCCCACCACCATCCTGTTTGCATTCAGCTTGACTGCACAAGAGCCAGTTTGCGTTTAAAAATTTCTTTCAAAGAATCCAGTCACTCAAATATATATAAAACAGAGAGTTAAGTAACAATTGTCAATGGTATGAGCAAGAATGCCATTAGCAAACTCAATACCAGATACAAAATAATTTCTTCAATTAAAATCAGTCCTTGGAGAATATATCAATACATAACTATTGACAATGGTGATTCTCCATTAGAGCAAGGGATAGCATCAGCAAACTCAATACCATAAAAAACCTAATAATCAATTTACACACCTAACAATAAGCAAATTGAGCATTACATTAGCAACTAAAAAGAACCAATGTGCTTAAATACATCATAGTGATGTCCTGACAACTCTTATTATCATGTTGAAGTGTGCCCTATGACTGATCTACCATATAATAGTACAACTTGAATCCACCTACCTTTCATCATCGCAAAACACAATTACCTCTACAGAATGGCTCAATTTCAGGAAAGGTTACCAAAAAGTACCTCCGCCCAACACAATTCAAAGGATTATTGATCTTTAAAACCATGAATGGTGATGAAGAGGGCTAGAGGTGCTTTCATCTGTCTTTGATGCCATATTGGTAAGGAAATTAAAAGGGAAGCATGAAGATACTGATGACAAATTGACACAAGAGCTCCGATTCAGTCCATGGGATGATGTAATTGACAAAGAAGTTAAGTCAGATTTCGAGGATGGTAATAAAACAGATGATGATATATTCCTGACTTGTACAATGCCAAGAATATAGTTGTCAAAAGGATGGTGGAGGATGAATAATTTATATTTCAACACGAATGACAAAAAATGGAATGCCATCATCCAGGAAGCAACAGAAAAAGGATAGGCTAGAGATATGAGCGAGTGTGAGGACATTTTGGAGGATCCGCGCAATTGGGATAAGCTCATCCCAAGTATATCTTTCAGTTCTTGCAAGTTTCTTTTTGGTGCTCTCAAGATTTCTTAATCTAGTTGTTTGTTTCCTTAGCACTAATTATTTAGTCCTATTTTCTTGTTGTTAACAGTCAAACTTAAGTGATAGAATGTGATATATTTTCAATGCTAAATGTCCATTTAACAACGAACATGAACAGACTATTTCAGATGACATATAGCAGAAGGTCAAAGCAAATTTTGATGAATTAAGTGATAAATGTGAAAGAAATGAGCTTGAGCTGGAGGAAGCATAACAGCATTTCAAGGAGTTTGAAGATCAGATAGTGGGTGTATGGAGAAGGTGGAGGCAGAGGGACCTCCAAAGTCTGATGAGGTGACTAGCTAATTGAGAAAAACAAGTCTGATGATCCACCAGGTGCGTATCTAGTTCTCAGATGGCACACACAGGTGGTATTTGTCCTGGGAGGTGGGAAAGGTGAAATTATCAATGACAGTTAAGGAGCTAGGACTTTTAAAATATCAGTTCCGTCGTCTGAGGGAAATAGTAGGAAAACTATATAATCCTGGAAAAGACGAGCTAACAATCATAAGTGAGAGGTAAACTAGAATTGAGATAGATCTCTGAAGTTTTTATAATTCTATTCCTCTGCAATTATAATTACCAGCTGTAGTCCTACAACACCCACAGCTTGCTTTATATACATTTTGTGTTTTGTGTTTTGAAGTTATTGAATAGTTTTTAATCTGGTTTGTTGCATGTTTAGCCTTAAAAGAAATTAGTTGGGCAGAAATGTGTGAAGTGAAAGAACAAGGGGAAAACATTGATGCTAACAACTACTGGGTATACCTCCTTGCTAATATGGGTTCAAAGACCGATGAAAGCGCCTCTCACTAATTACCTTACGGCTTCAGGAAAATACACCACTAGCCACTAATTATTAGTGAATCAATGAACTCGTCCATTTGCATGTCATGGTTGATTTTGTGAGGTGGCAATTCAAATCTGGAAAAGCCAGCAACTTAACTCTAGTTTCAACATAAGTAAAACTGTTCTAATTTAAAAATGAAGTAGGAAAGAAATCAACAGGTAGCATCAAACAAACTAATATTGAAGGCAGCAAATATCTACAAGTATCACACTGTCACACACCGGCGGTGTGTTCTAAACTACTCCCTTTTATGTAAGTTCCATCTCCCCAACAGCCCCCCTCCCACCGCGGCTGGATAGCCACCTGTTAATTAGCATGAGTTTGACACAACTTAGAATCTAAAATTATATGGTAGATCATGCAAGTTTCTCAGTTTAGCAAATAGCACAATTAAGAGACATTAGGGGGGAAGCATTGACAATTAGGCAGGAAAAAAAGTCATTTCTTCATCTGCCATGCATAAAGCTGTGATAGTATTAAGGATCAGTGGTTGCAACTCACAGACTTTTGTAATTAGGAAGAACTATAACAGAATTTCTAAAAACTAGGGTCAACTATTCTATGAAAAATTAGTCAAGTTACTTAGACGATCACAAAGCTATCCTTTCCAACACCACTTTTCACACCTACAAAGTATCTATCGAGGCGAAATTCATCAAACCTCAGTTCCATGAGATGTAAGACTTTGATCAATCTACTTGCACTAGCAACTAATTTGGGGGGTAATTCGCAAATAATTTGCTTCTCTTAACCCATCAAATCTCCCAAAAATTCTTATTCACTCCTTAAAAGTCCAACAACCAATTCATATTCTAAATCCCCAAATATTACTAAAACACAAATTTTCCACTTGTACAAGTATCCAAACCGGCATCAATTTCCAAGTTATCACCACATTTGACTTAATCATAATTCACCCAACTCCAAAAACCTACAGTTTGCGCAAATAATTTGATTCCAAAGCCATCAAATCTTCTAAAACCCTAACACACTCCTCCTTAATCGATTTACTATGGCGCTACAACCAATTCATAACTAAAAATCAATACACAAACTACTGGAAATACCCACAAATTATTTACACAATTAAAACAAAAAAATAAGAAAAAATTAAATTAAACTAAATTAAATTGAATCAGTATAATCATGGTGAAAACTTACTTTGGAGATTCTTGTCCATGTACCTACAAAACACCCAAAAAAAAAAGGAGAAATAAAATTAGCGACAAATTTATAGAAAAATCAAAAGTTAAATTGATTATAAAAGAGAAATTGCAAAATAACAAGAAAAAAGGGGGAAAATACTGACTTCTTGAGATCTGGAGGCTGGCCTGATCTGCTCATCCTTGAAGCCTAGACAGATTTACGAAAGAGAGCAGGTGAAGTTGAGTACGAAAAAGATGAACAGGGAAAATGTGAGTGATTATAAACCCTAAAAAAAAAAAAGAAGAGGGTTTTTCTGTATTTGATTTTGATTGATGATTTGGGCTGGCTTTTATAGCTTCTAAAGTCCAATACTCAGTATATAGGCCTCGGACTTGTGACGGTCCATACATGAATATAGATGGGTGCGTTTTCTGGTTTTGATTAACGTTTCATTTGTTTTAACGGAAAATAACTTATTGGGAATATGATTCTCCAAATAAATTTTAAGTGAAAACAAAATTGAATAAAAATAATTTTTCTTTGTTTGTAACCTTATAAGAAAAATTATAGAGGAAGGGGAAAATAGGAGTGAAAGGGAGAAGATGGATGAGATGAGAGGTAAAGGGTGTAAGGAGTTGACAAGAAAATATGACATACCTTTCTTTTGGAAAGAAACATTTTCTACATTTGAGAGAACTATTTTCCACCTTTGGGAAAATCGCATTCCATCTTTACTAACCAAATAATGGAAAAAAAAAAGAAAATTACTAAATAAGAACATGTTTTCGGTCAAAACAAACATAGGCTAAAGGTGATATGAGTTCCATTGTACAAAACTGCCACTAAAAATGGCAATATTGAATGAATATCCATTATCCGATCCACCAATATTAAATAAATGGTCAAAAACCCAAATTAAATATATGCAAATTGGGTGATATGTCAAATCTGGATGGTGCTCAACTCCATCCATATTAACCATCCATCCACCCATTTAAATATTTGTGTAAATTTTTAATTTTATTTTGTAGTAAAAAATGCATAATGTCTAAAAATGATATTGTTATTAAAACACTTACTTTTTGTTGCAAATTAAAATTTCAAACAATTTCTTAGTATTGATTATTTTTATGGTAAGAAGGACTTTAAGCAGGCCTCAACCCTTGTGGTTTTTCTAATTCAGTTTTTGCGGGCACAACACTTGGGAGGTTGAGAGTACATAGAGGGGAAGAGTAAGAGAATACCTACTCCAAACACTCTTATTTGGTAGGATAGTGCTACATATATGACTACATGACATTAAATAAAACTACATTTTAAAAATAGTAAGCATTTTGAAATTTATGATCAAAACAAGCTTAAATCATTGCTAATGCTTAATTTTTCATAACATTTTATTTTTTAACTTCTTATATACACTTCTTAAGATTGCATATGGCATTTTCCAAAAATAATACGAGTATTACGACAGTTTTACTAATAATATGCATGTTACTAATATACACGTACATCATATTAGATTGCTTCAATAAAAGTTGTATGCATATTAGATCTCCCATGCCTTAGCCTTAGCCGTATAATCCCTCTAACATACATGTATAATCCTTCTTATGCATCTCAAATTTGGACCTTATCAAACTTTGAATCCTATTGTAGGATTCATGCTTCATGTAATGCTTGTTTCATACCAAAAAAAAATATTCTTTTCCTTTGTTTTATATATGCTGGCCCAAAACCAATAATGTAGATTTGCATATTAAGTATATTTTAAATAATTCAATATGAATTTCATGCATGTCCAATGTTGAGAATCTGCCCCCTTTAGAATTTTGGTAGCCGTACTTCGTCCTATACTTAGAGAGTTAGAGATCCCACGTTGTGGGGTTCAAGTAGTTGAACCTTTTTTTATTTTATTTTTTTTGTGGGATTGTTTGGTACTACTAATCTACTAAGCTACTTTTGTTTTGTATTTTATATATGCATAACTAATAAATAGAGTGCATGCTATGAGCTAAACGCCTAAACCTTTTGGTTTTTAATTTTCGGTGATGCCGTTAGCATTTTTTATGTTACCCGCCGGCAATGCTAGCCAACTACCTAACAAGTTATTTACATTCCGATTATCTCACCATAACTCTTTCGATTTTTTAACATTATATAGCAGCTGTAAACAAGACACAAGATATCCGTTACTATTAGCGTATCACCATTTCGAGAGCTACAAACACATTCATACCAACATTACATCTAGCACATCATAATACATAATAAAGGAATACAAATACAAGCATCCAACCTATTGTAATGAACTAATGACCGTAATTATTCTTATTTTTATTTATTTTTTCTTGGACGGCTAAAGCATTCTAGCAAATGAAGGGCTAAGTTTTTTCATTATCTCCAATTTAGTACCTACAAAAAAATCAAATTAAGGTCCATATAATTTTCAGATCAGAGGAGCTTCTTCCCTTAGCTTATTCACTTGTTGGCGTGTCAAAGTGGTGTGTTACAATTAAATAAAAACGGTGGAAGTATTTCTTTGGCTATTTATTTTATTAATCCTGTCCACTAATTGTTACTAACTATGGGCTGTTAGTTTTTGCACCAAAGACGAATATGAAAAATTGGAGTTGTTAAGTTTTTTTAATTCTTGATTTATAACTAATTTACGGCATGATTGAAGGTAGAGCAGTTGGTGTTACATCAATGCCTTGTGGTCTAAACTTTGATCTACTTTAGAAGTACTATAAGGTACCAAACATCTAAACCATGATGTCAAGCTTTGAGTTTGAGATACTCTACCCATGTGCCCTGAAACATAACGTTAATTACCATCTACTAATAAAAAAATGCCACTAATCTTACTTGGTTTTTGAGTAAGACGTGTGAAACCTGATAATTTGATTTGCTCGAGTCATTTTTGATTTTATACCGACAATCCAATGACCATGACCAAGAAATTTAAATTATGGATTAGTCTGGTCAAATTAATGACATATTTTTTTATACGAGTAAGATAAGTTCTTATTAATTAAGCTCTAATATTGTATTTAGTATTGTAAATATTAGCTAAATGGGCCAATGTCTAAGGCCTACTACTCTCTTCTCTTAGGTTGCGTATAAACCTTGTGATTATAGTAATACAAACCAAGGAAAATCAATTCCTGACATGGTATCAGAGCCTGTAAAATTCTAAACGCTAAATTTTTTTTTCTCTAAACCCTACAAAAAAATAAAAGAAAAAAAAGAAAAAAAAACTTCTCTACTGCGTATCAACAATGGTGGATGAAGGTTGTTCTTCTTCTCCCTTATACACTCAACATAGTTCTTTGACATATGCTAATTCTCTATCGAAGCGACGTGACAAGTCGAATTTATATTGTACCCACTGCAATCGATCGCGTCATGATTATGATGCTTGTTTTATGGTCCATGGCAACCCTGATTGGTGGCTCAAAAAATACGGCAACCACGGAATGAGTCTGGCTGCCACTACCCCGTACACTACTCCCTCTACTGCCGACGCTAATGTGCCGCCTGCTACTGTCCTGGCTCACGCTACGGCAGCAGCCTACACTAATTTCGATATGAGGATCGGTGATTACTTCTCTTTGTCTTGGATTATAGGCACGGGTGCCTCTCATCATGTAACAGGTGATGAGTCTTCTCTACTAGATATTCAATCTATATTCTACCATGCCCTGTTGGTCTTCCCGATGGTGCTCAAGCAATTGCTACGAAGGAGGGTCGTGTTTTCTTGGCGGATGGAATTATTCTTGAACATGTCTTATTTGTTCCTAAATTAAATTGCAATTTGATATCGGTCTCTAAATTGATCGGTGACTCTCATTGTTATGTACGATTCACTAATTCATTATGTGCTGTACAGGATCAAAATTCGGGGAGCCTGATTGGAGGCAGTGAACGAATAGATGAACTATACTATTTTCGGTGTATCCCAAAAGTATGTGCGATCACGGGTCCGGAGGTCTCTACATTTGAGTTGTGGCATCGACGTTTGGGGCATTCGTTGGAAAGAATTGTCAAGTTACTCCCGGCTATTAGAGGTAGTTCTAGTAGTACATATTTACATAAGGCATGTGAAATTTGTCCTCAAGCTAAACAAACCCGAGATAGCTTTCCTATAAGTGATAGTTGTGCTATTCGCATTTTTGAATTGATATATTGTGATTTGTGGGGGTCGTATAAAATTCCTTCTACTTGTGGTGCACACTATATTCTGACTCTTGTCGATGATTTTTCAAGGGGTTTCAGGGTTTATTTGTTGAATGATAAAACCGAGGTTTGTTCTTATTTTTGCTCATTCCTTGATGATTAAAACTCAATTTGATATGTCTGTGAAATATGTACGGAGTGACAAAGTACGGAATTTAAACATATGCTTCCCTATTTCAATAAACATGGCATTCTCTTTCAAACTTCTTGTGTTGGTACTCCACAACAAAATGGCTAGGTTGAGCTTAAACACCAACATATATTAAATGTGGCTCGTGCATTAATGTTTCAAGGCAATATGCCGATTGATTTGTGGGGTGAATGTGTTCTTGGTGCGATATATTTGATTAATTGTACCCCCTCTCATTTATTAGACAACAAAACATCGTATGAGGTTTTATTTGGCAAAGAACCTACTTTTGATGAAATGCGAGTTTTTGGTTGTCTTTTTTTTGCTCATAATCAAAAGGCTAGGGGTGATAAGTTTGCACCTAGGAGTAGGAAGTGTGTGTTTGTGGGATACCCTCATAGGAAGAAGGGTTGGAAGTTGTATGATTTGGAAACAGGTAACATTTTTGTGTCTCGTGATGTCAAGTTTCATGAAAATGAATTTCCTTTTGCGAATACTTGTGACAAAAATGTATCACTTGAGGAAACCAATGGAGTGCCTTTTGATAATGTTGGGATTATTATGGATTTTTTGGATGATTTGGGGCACGTTTTGCTACCCCCGTTGCCACTGATGTTGCTGCTACTACTGCCCCTACATCTACTACTGCTACCGCTGCTAGCTCTGTTGTTGGGGCCAGCCACGGACAGCCCGTGGAAACTACTGCCAGCCACGGCCAGCCCATGGCACCTACTTCCAGCCCCCCGAACTTAGATGATGCCACCCACAGCCAGCTCATGGCAACTACTTCCAGCCACGGCCAACCCGTGGCACCTACTGTCAGCACCTCACAAGATGCTTCGAACTCTTCTCCTTCCTCTACTCTTGACATGGGTCATCCTCCGAGTTGGCATCGTGATTATGTCGCACATACTATCTCTCTTCCGAGTCCATCTATCTCTCCAAGTTCACCGTCTTCTTCAAGTTCCTCAGGTACTCCCTATCCTTTAGCACATTTTGTGTATCGTGATAAATTTTCTATGCGCCACCGTGTATTTATTGCAACAGTTGATACGGCCGTTGAGCCTTGGAATTTCAAAGAGGCAATGCAACATGAGGGGTGGAAAGACGCAATGCAAAAAGAAACTAATGCTCTAGAAGATAATGAGACTTGGGTCATGGAAGAACTACCTCCGGGGAAGAAAACTCTTGGGTGTAGATGGGTCTATAAGGTGAAGCATGATTCAGATGGCACAGTTGAAAGGTTAAAGGCGCGTCTGGTCATATTTGGTAACCATCAGGTCAAGGGTATTGATTACAATGAAACATTTGCTCCCATAGCAAAAATGGTATATGTTCGTGCTTTCTTAGCAGTTGCAGCTGCGAAGAATTGGGAATTGCATCAAATGGATATTCATAATGCTTTCCTACACGGTGATCTTGATGAGGAAGTCCATATGAAGCCCCCTCCCGAATGTCATGGTTCCCGATCCGACTTGGTTTTCCGCCTACAGAAGTCTTTATACGGTCTTCGACAGGCACCTCGTTGTTGGTTTCCTAAACTACTAGCCGGCTCTCTCAAAAGTTACGGCTTTACACAATCGTACTCTGATTATTCTCTGTTTACTTTGAGCCAAGGGTCTAGTCAACTCAATGTCCTTGTGTATGTTGATGATTTGATAATTTCTGGAAATGATACCTCTGCGATTTCTGCTTTTAAGACATACTTGAGCAATTGTTTTCATATGAAGGATTTGAGAGTTCTGAAGTACTTTCTTAGTATTGAGGTTGCTAGAAGTCCGAAAGGCATATTTTTATGTCAACGAAAGTATACCTTAGATATTATTGCTGAATCAGGTTTGTGGGCACGCCCAGCTGGAGTTCCGATTAAGCAGAACCATACACTTGCAAAATTGGATACTCCGTTCATTGATGATCCCGAGAGGTATAGGCGCCTTGTGGGTCGCTTGATTTATCTGTTGTTCACTAGGCCGGATTTGGCCTACTCCGTACATATTTTGTCTCAATTTATGCATCAACCTCGTCAGGATCATTAGGAAGCAGTTCTACGTGTCGTTCGCTACCTAAAGGGTTGTCTGGGGCAAGGGATTCTCTTGAGTTCAGATTGTGATTTACATTTGACAGGTTGGTGTGACTCCAATTCGGCTAGTTGTCCTTTAACGCGGAGGTCGATCATTGGTTGGTTAGTGTTTCTTGGTGGTTCTCCAGTTTCGTGGAAAACCAAGAAACAACATATTGTTTCTAAATCTTCTGGAGAGGCAGAGTATCGGTCCATGGCCATAGTCACTTCAGAGCTAAAATGGTTGAAAGCGTTGTTCGATAGTTTGGGGGTTTCTCATCCGCGTGCGATGAATTTGTTTTGTGATAGCCAATCGGCTTTGTATATAGCTTCGAATCCGGTATTTCATGAACAATGAGGTTGATTGTCACTATATTCGGGATGCTATTCAGGAAAGTGTTATTCGCCCGTCACATGTGAAGACTACTGAACAACTCGCAGATATTTTTACTAAGGCTTTAGGGAAGCAACAATTTACGTATCTACTTGGCAAGTTGGGCATTTGTGACCTGCATGCTCCAACTTGAGGGGGGGGTGTTAAGCCCTAATATTGTATTTAGTATTGTAATTAGCTAAATTGGCCAATGTCTAAGGCCTACTACTCTCTTCTCTTAGGTTGTATATAAACCTTGTGATTACAGTAATACAAACCAAGGAAAATCAATGACAATGTTACTCAAGTTCAAGTTACAACTAATATAATTTGTTTTATTTAGTGAAGATAATGTCAGATTAGATTTAAAAAGTTCAGATTAATAGATATCAAGTGAATAAAATGCACCATAGTAACTTAAATGAAAAACTAATTTTTAGTATATTGGGTTCATAGAGAGTGAGGGATAGCCCAGGTGGTTAGAGCTTCCCTCCCGATTTTTGGTGATCCTGGGATCGTTCTCATATAATTACCAAACATCAGAATCATAGGAAAACGATATGGCTAGGTTTGAGCCGCCTATTTTCATTTCTTTTTTTTTTTTTCTTTCCGGATTTTGTCATTTGGGATAATCTTGTGCTCAAAACTCTTTGTGGAGCCAATTCCTACTCAGAACAAAAAAATTTTGGTTGAATATTGATACTCCATATTATAAGAAATCGCTAATTAATAAACAAAAAGCCACATTTCGATCAAATACTCCGTACATAACATAAAAATCGGTTATGTACTCTTTAACAAATTAGCTAGTCACATATATTAATAATAAAACTAATCACTCCGCCAATTGCTGAAAGTTTTGGCAATACAAAGTCACCATATATAATTTAACTACAACCATATATAATGCAAATAGTCTGGATTTTGGACAAATTTAACTACAACCATATATTTAACATAACCCTCCTTTAAGCTTTTTAATTCCAGCTAATTATAATATACATTTTAGCCTTATTGGCCGTAGTCGGCAATTTTGTTTATCCTAGACTCTTAAATTAAATCCCAAAGAATATTTACCTAATCCTTGTATATATTTTAAAAGGATGTATTCTAGTAGGGAAAAACATAGATCATCGTCAATCATAGCAAATCATATCATGAAATCGCAACTAATTTTCCTATAAAAAAATAGAAAAATTAAAAAAAGTACACGAATCAAATTGTACAAGAAGTCAATCAAACTAATATGCCTATTATTAAAAAGAAACAAATAAGGCAAAGAACTTACACCCTACAATGATTGATTGATTATTTTTATTTCCTTTAATTTCTCCTTAATGTTTTAAGTCAACATGATACCATTACAAAAGACATACATTCCCCCTTAATTTCCCACATTACAAATATAAATACCTCTCTTTTTTCTTCTCAACCTTCAACCAACCCACTCAACTTCTCTCAACTTCCTCTCTAATTTTTTGTTAATTTAGTTAACATGTTGAAGAAGATTAGAGTGGTAAAATCCTTGTCTAATCTTTCCAAGAAAACAAAGGCGACGATCAACAAAGTTGATAGTTGCCATTCTTGTGAGTATTCACATCGACAATCATTGCTAGTTAAAGGATCGTTGGAAGAAGATTCAATTTCTCCCACGAAGATCCCTACAGGGTTCTTCGCAGTATATGTTGGGGAGGGGAGGGAAAGATTCCTCGTCCCCACGAGTTTTCTTTCTCATCCCCTCTTCAAGATGTTGCTAGAGAAGACTTATGATGAGTTCGGGTTTCAACAAAAGAATGGCCTTATTGTACCATGCAGCGTTTCGACTTTTCAAGAAGTGGTTAACGCCGTAGAAAGTAACCATGGAAGGTTTGACATGAGGAAACTCTTTGAGGAAGTTATTGTTGTCTGATTATTTGTATGTAAGTATGTGTACATAAAAGAGTTATAATCGTAGAGTTTAATTAAGTTTAATTGTAGGTAATTAAGGGTAATTAGGCCATTATTTTGTAACTAAGTCTCTGTAATACCTTTAGATTTAGGAAACTCTGAGAGTAATTTCCAAGGAGTAGTAAAACTGCATTCCCATGGATTATTTGTCGTAGATGATGTGGTTGATAAATATAATATGCTCACGTATGACATGTTTTATTTTATTTTTTGACATTGGCATGTCATTAATTAAGTTTTGGAGCAAATTGATAGTTGCTGCTGCAAATTCCAAATCAAAATCAACAAATAATAGAGTGGATTTAGATTAAAAACACCAGAAAGCGGATGCCAAAAGAAAAGTAAGTTATATGGAGTAATAAATTTACTTCGTACAATGGTATTTCGAATAGGTGTGGTGATGTCTCATATCATAATGATAATGTGATAAACTGATACTCGATTTTTTCAATGCTTGCTAGAGGACTATGAAGATAAGTCAACATGTTTATATATATACACCTAAATTTTACAAATTTGTGACATTGTAAATGCATGTGGTGTTACCAGGATCGTATCAACCGATCCTTTTTTTTCATGTTTGATTTCATGCCTTCATTTTTACCATTTACCATTGAGTAGCTATAAAAGGCTAACATTATAAGTTTAATGCTAATGTATACTTTCGAAAGTTACACTACGTTTCCAAATAATTTTTAGCGGTTGAGAGATGGGCAAAATGTGGTGTTGTATCCCTTATAAGTTAATTAATCAATGCTCAAATAGTGTAACAACCTTGGGCGCTCAATAATGCTAATTTGAACTTATTTTGTTGATTTTGTATGATTTCAGACTTATTTCTACCAAATTTTGCTTAGCATAACCTATTTGTTTCTTAACCTTTTTTCTTTTGAAACAAACCGGTAGAGATTAAATGAATAGAGGTTCATTTCCGCCAAAGTTAAGAGAATTTGAGAGAAATGATCTAAACAAACATATTCGTTACAACCTCTAGCATTCCACCTCGTAACAAAGGGAGCCAAGTGAGGAAAAGGGCCTAAAACAAACATATTTGTTTCTTAACTTTTAACTTACTTTAATTAAATTTAACTACCTGTCAAAAAGATGAAGTTAAATTCAACTTATTAATGTAAAAGTTATTTGTGTGAATTAGCCCGAACAGTTTTATTAGAAAAATTGCAAATTTTATTGAACATCTCATTTTGGTACGACATTCGCCCATGAATTTCTTTCAGCAACAGAGGCGACACGCCGGCCTGACGCACGTTTTAATACATTTATCCACCAACAAATCACTAATTTTCAGGGTCTAATTTGTAGATAATGTTAAAAACTAGCAATTCCATCCAATACCTCAAAATTTAAACAATGATCAAATATCCATTCTTGTTTAATTAATGTAGAAAAGGAAATGGTCGAATTAATTTCAAAATTTAAAATTGTCGCGTACAAAACATTACATTTGTACTAGGAAAATTAAAAGTCAAAATAATGTATGTGTCTATTATTTCCGAATACTATAGGATGTCATGAACTCATGACCAGTGAGCATACCGAGCATATGATCTAGAGGTCGGAGTTGACAATGTCGAAGTTGGGTAGCCAAATACGAAGTATGTTTTATTATTACGTATGTTCGGTATGTATATATCAAGCAGTTGATATACTAGTATTTGTTGCCCAACAAAAAGGCTGATGCATGATTAGTTTTTAGTTTTATTTTTTGGTACATGAACATAAATAAGTTATAAAAATGAGAAGAAAACAACATTATTTCTCCTTAAAACATTTTAAATTGGTATTTTAATTAACATTATGGTGTGTAATCACTTATTTGAATTGTTTTAGCTTGTAGACTTTGTCATATGACGAGTGATTGAGTGAATATTCATTTTTGTGCCATGGCACAATCTCTTTTCTTTCTTTTTGGGACAAGTTGTTAGGAATCATTCATACAATAATTTGTTTTATTTTTTTTTAGATGACATTGGTGTGCAAGATGATTGATTTAATTTAATTTACATATTAATTCATATACTTAAGTTAGAATTTTAAACTAATCTATCAACAAAATTTCATTAGTTAGATTTAAATTCTAATGTTATTGTCAACGAGTCTCAATACTTTGTATTGATATGTACAAATTAGAACATATACCCGATTGCATGTATGAACTGAAAAATACATTTAAAATACTTCGTAAAATAAAAATTGATACATTTTCTTTCATTTAACTGGACGGGGTTACATATGTTAACCAAATTTTTTTCCTCTCAATTTATCCTCGTCGGCTCTTCTTTCTTTCAAGCCTAAACTCCATTGAAGAAAGTATCTCCAAACCGTACCACGGCCAATGTTTATTACTCCGTATTAGTTTGATTTAAATTCTAATGTAATTGTCAACAAGTCTCTAATATGATTCGATCTTACAACAAATATATTTAAAATACTTCATACAATTGAATAAGGTACATTATTTTTTTATTTCAAACCTAGCCTCCATTGAATAAAGTACCTACGTTTCCATGGCCTATGTTCATAAATTTTCCTTAGATATTTTAGTTGCTCCGTTCCAAAACGAGTCACTTTAAGGTTACGTAGTAATGTACACATATTAAGAATTTGAATATTAAATATTGACAAGCAATATTGCAATGGTATTCTATATTTTATTGCTTATAAAGAAAATTAGTCAGTCTACTACTCCATATAAATATGCAATTGCAAAAAAAAAAAAAAAAAAAAAAATAGACGAACTTTTATCTTAAGTTTTAATAATATAAAATTTAGTACTCTGTAATTTTTTTTTCCCAATTTTTATAAAGAGATTCAAATAACAATAATGTGAAACAAATTTGATGTTAAATTTTAAGGATCAACCCAGAATAACCAACCAAGCTATCTAGCATCAACGATCATTCCCTTATTTGAGAGAGTGAGACGCGTCCTTGGCAAGATAGTTTACATCGGCTAATGATGGGCCTACATACAAAGCGTAATGCTACCATGGTTCTACTTTACACTTTGATAATAACAGTAATTTCCCATGACGCTTGAGGTTGGATTTTAACACACAGACATGCTCATGTATGTATTAGGTAATAATGAGATCATGTTAAACAACAACTGAAGAAGAAAAAGGGACAAATTAAGAGAAGTAATTATAATTTTCCACCCTAACATCACAAATCTAGTAGATGCTTAATCAATAAAAACAGGTATTGAGATAAATAATTATAGAGTATGTATAAAGGCATTGGTATGAATATCATGATTCATGATGTCAGAGTCAATTGCAATTTGCAATAAACATAGCAAAGATACGGTTAGCCTTTTTGTTCTCAATGATGAATGACTGACTTTGAACAAGATATAGTCAAAGTTCTTTTATTATTTCCGATTAACCATTGCTATCCTGAAGCAAATAATACAGCGGACTGACTTCATGGCCAATCATGATCACGATCACTTCCCTTTAACGCTCTATGGGTTCAATTCTTGTAACAACGGGCTTTCCCTCATCATTCGAAAGGAATGCTTTAGGTTGCTCCTCCATTACTCCATTACGGAGTAGCCAATTATAATTTCCTCATTATCAAATATATATTTTTGGTGTTTAGAGAGCCACAAGAGCGGATGATGAGAATCGTTCCCACGATCATTTCCCACGATCATTTAAAACCAGAAGGAGAGCTCTAACCACTTAAGTTATTCCTCACACTCTTATTATCAAACATATATAAAAATAATAAGCAAAAGAAAAAATGGAAACTAATAATCCCACCTTAGTCTTTTCTGCTCAAAACAATCCCACCTTATACACCCATCTTCTGAAAACAAGCATTTTACCGGTTTGTGAAATTGGTAACTTGTTTTAAAAGGTGACTTGCCACGTGTTGGTCCAATTTTAATTTTTTTAATTTTTTAAAAAAAAAAAGAAAAAAAAAACAAAAATAAGTTTCCCTTCCAAGCTCCCCACCACCGCACCTGATCAACACCCCCTCCCCATTCCCCACCTCCCTTTTTCTGTTTCACTGCCATCGCAATCCCACTCCAGGCCTCCCTACCCACCGCAACCCTCTTTAGCTCCTCCGTCGTCATTGGCTCCGATCCTCCGCCATCGAGGTTTCATATTGGGGTTTTTTGGGGTTGGGTTCCCATTTCGATTTGGGTTTTGCCGTTTTTCTGGGTTTAGGTTTTCTAGGTTTGAGTTTTGTTTTCTGGGTTTGGGTTTAATTTCGTGGGAGGTTTAGGGGTTTCGTGGGTGGTCGGGTTTAGGGGTTTCATGGGTTGTCGAGTTTGGGGGTGGCTGCGGTGGTCGGTTTTCGGGTAAGGGGTGGTAGGATTCAAGGGTTAGGGGGTTTTCGGGCAATGGGTGGTCGTGTTTAGGGGGTTTCAAGGTGGTCGCGGGGGGGGTGGCTGGTGTGGTGGTGGCTATGGAAGGGAGTTGGTGTGGTGGTGGCCATGGAAGAAGCTTGAAGAAGGGAGACTTGAGGTTGAAGAAGCTAAGAGAATTAATAAAAAAAAATTAAAAAAAAAACTCTTTAACAGGTTATAGGTCAAAGGACCTATTTTAAGAAGATGAGGGTATAAAGTAGGATTGTTTTGAGATTTTGAAAAGATAGGATTGTTTTAAGCAGAAAAGGCAAAGATATGATTATTAGTTTTCATTTTTTCTAAACAAAATGCAGCCAAAGATTAAATTAGGTTAGGGTTGCCTACCGTCCAAGGATCTAGTAAGGTGTCATTTTCAAAGCAACCAACTTTCATGGTTGTACTGACTTGGACTTAAGTCCGTAGGACCCGTACAACATGCTTAACAGCTTGTGTTTGACATTTTTTTTTTTTTATTTGACAAATCAAAAAATTATTCATAGTATAAAATAGATTAGTCTTTCTCTTAAAAAAAAAAGAATAGAATAGTCTTTAAATCATCTATCTAAAAGTTGTACAAAACTCTTCAAAAACTAAGATGTTAGTAGTACAAACTATACTCATACTTTATGGAAGATAAAGGTAAATGTAAAACGATACTCCCTTCGTTTCTCAATACACAATATATTTTGCAAGCGAACTTTTACGGAACTGGTTAGGAAGTGTGCTACTGTGCAGCTGTGCTACAAGCAAGGTTTAAGGAATGGGGGGTTGTCCCTGCTTTCCTCTATTTTGGGATATCCTCTATTTTGGGAAATATTATGACTAACAAAAATATCAGGAAAGTACTGATTTGCAAAATTTGCCAGCTTGTCTTAATAACCCTCACAGATTACTCCACTGTTCTAATTTGTGATCGTATTCGATCATTTTCCCATGTGTACTCTTTTAAAACAAATTTTGTCTAGTTGATTGATTACCTTGATTCTGGTAATCCTTTCTTGTAACCACTACATTCATCCTCTAAAGCAGAACACTATAAAATTAACCTTAGTTTCATTGGATATTAAAGATTACCAAACAAAACAACCATATTCAATGTGAATGTCTCAATCATCGACTGAACTGAAACATCTTCAATGGTTGCTGTTGTCAGAAAAAGGGAAATAGAAAGGAAAAGGACAAACAAATTGAAGGGATGCTGACTATAAGCAGTATAGCAGCAATGTCGAACATCTGCAAGGAGGGGGTACGAAAGTTTCCTCTAGACAAGGTAGGATCATCACGTAAATTGCAGTAACATACTGCAGAAAGATTAAGGAATGATGAATCATTTACATTTCTCCCTTAATTATACAGCCGCAAATTCATACAAGTCAGCTAAGCTTTATTAAAGCCTCTACCTCTCAAAAGAATTACAAACAATTAATAAGGATTTTCTTCATATTGTCAACCAATTCTTGCATTTGTTCTCTTGAATGCAAAGGAAATGGATAGACACATGCACAATCCAGTTTGCCTTGCCTTACAGTATCAAATATAGCAATGGTAGGGCCCACACCATGAGTAGAGGCACATCCCATGTAATCTTCTATCCCTAGTTCCTTATGGTTCTCATTTGTTTCATCAATTACCGGATCTTCAAAAACCGAGATAAAGGAGGTTCTCAAGGAAGAAGATGGAGTCAAACCTGGATTTTCAATGGCCCGGCACATGAGAAAATTGAGGTCAGCCATATCCGAAAAATGCTTGTTTGAGTTCTTTGCATCTGCAAAGGATGTGTAAGTTCTTCCGGCGAGCTCCCACAGCTCCTCGCCTCCTTTCATGTCATGAGTATTGAGGATGGCAGAATGATAGAATCCTGAATCCATGCATGGAGAAGCAGCAAGGTTATTTTCAAACAAAATTTGTATGTTAACAAAGCTTACAACCAATTCACGTCAAAAAAAGATAAAATTCCACATAAAAGCTCACAGTGAACAAAATTCACATTTCCAGCTGCTTGTATGTATTTTCATACAGTAACCAAAAATACTGGAATAACTCCTTCCTTTATGGCTTTATACATGCAATACAGCAGCGAGTATTTACAAACAATTGGCTTAATCATTGAGAAAAATAATCAACACAAAGCAAACGATTTTATCATACTAACGATTAGTGTGACAAAACACATTGGACACTCAGCATTTCCTCCCTTCTTTAACATGTATCAATAAAGAAGAATAGAGTGAAGGGGGACAAGAAATCCTTCAAAAACTAAGAAAATAGAGGTTTCTAAAGAAGCCCCATGAAACACATGCAAAGAGAAGCTAGAAAGAAAGAAGAAATAATAAAAATAAAAGCACAATCGTTTCTCTGTAACTAATCACCCACTTAATACCCAAAGTTAACAAACACAATTTTTTCTTCCTCTTAAGCTATCCAAAACTCAAGTAACATCTTTCACTTCCCAAAATTCATACAGAGTATCAGTGATACCTGATAACTTTAAATGGGTCCTCAAAACATGCATCTTGTCATTAGTTTGAAGTCTCCCCAAGTTTTCTTCTTAAAATCTCTCATGTACTTTAGAACTATAGCCTTCAAAATAGAAGTTGGAAATAGCGAAAATAAGTGTCACGGTTAACTGTCCTTAAATGTTTTTAAGAGGAACTGCTTTAACTGGATTCCTTGGAAGTAGTAAGCCTAAGAATAACCAACAAAAGCAAGCTCATTCAACTCCTGATCTTAAAAGCAGAATACCTAAGAATTACAATGCCCAAGATTCTTCCCATAATGCAGCTAGACTCCCCTTACTTGAGAAGCTTTGGGAAATGAACTCGCAAGGGATACTGTGAGGTCTGCGACTCCCTGCTATTATGTTTCATTCACTAAATTTATACAGCAACCTAACTCTAGTTGCTCCATACCAAAGGAAATTAAATTTATGGCAGAAAATCCAAAGCCATTTTCCCATCAAAGACATTTGACACCAGCAACCAATAAACATAACTTTCTCAGCTTTGGGGCTATATATATTCTCTCCCATCCCAAATCCAAGAGCACAAAATTTGTTTGTGTCACCTGAGCTATCAGCCATAAGCCATTAGAAACTCAAAAGGAACAACTTTTATAGGATAATAATAGAAAGACAGATTGGATATGCATAATGCAGTCCTCAAAAGAACACTAGGAAGTTAAATCAGTATCCAACAAAGAAACATTTCAACCTTTATAGACTCTAATTCTCTGGATCCTTAGAAGCCATTAATTCTAGTTTTGTTTCCATACGAAAGCCCAAGCTTGGTAAAGGAAATTAGGGCTTCACCCACCAAAGAAAATAAGCCATCTAGAGTGATGTGGTCTTAGATGGACCACAAATTCTGGACTTGCAAAGAAACTCAAACCTTGAGAAATAAACCGTAGAGGAATAAAAGTATTATCAAGAAGTCTCCCCTCTGCCAATTTGGAAATTTTTAATGAGAGACCGTTTCCTTAAAATCCATTAATTTCACAACACTCACCACCAAGCGAAAGAAAAGGAGGACACTGAGCATATTTAAATTGTTCCAGACATCAGTGGCTTCATAGCTGCTTTCTACTTAGATTGCCTACTTGCAGTAATGGACTCAGATTACTACTAACTTGCTCAGACAAAATAACAGGAAAATAGAGAGAAAAGATTGACTATATGATTGATAAAGTTAAATCTTTTTACAAGCTTGCAGTGATTGGTAGCTTAAGGCTATCACTCTCCAAGGTAGTGACTATAGGTCACAAGTCTCCCAAAACTTTCTCACCAATTTCCTGCCTAATCATTTCTTCTCCCTATTGATGTAGTACATGGTTTCGATCCCTAGGATGTAACTAAATTGAGCTTTTGTCTCATCCGCATAGGTGACCTCTCTTAATTTGTTGCATATCCTTCCTTATTTATACTAACTTGATGACTACTAAAAATTTTAGACTACCCATAATGCCCTCCCCTAGGTCAGTTCATTGCACTTGCTGATTCATCTAAAGGCACAAAGCAAACAGCACACTGATTAAGGAACAATGCAAAGGACCTCCAAATATAAATCATCAAGCAATGACGAGGATATTCTTGCAATTAGTTAAGAGTTTGTAATGCATTTGTATGCACACAAAACAAAAAGGAAGCAGGCCAGGCTTGCGCAGAAAAAGTGCTAACAAGTGCACAAGGTTGCTAAGTCTCACCAAAGCTGGTTCAAGGGAAGGCCTTTGATTACCAGTCCTTATCCCTGTTTATAGAGTTCTTAATTCTGCTGACCTAAATTGATTGGAAAACCTCATTATTTGATCAGACCCATCAGAGGGTGCATAAGCATCTCCTGATACAACAAAAGGAAATGGTAGACTGCTGCATGGAAAGGCTGAAACAAAGTCCATAGCAAAAATAATTTTATTGCTGTAATCTATCCTTTTTGCTTTTCTCACTTAGTGGAGGGAGAAGGACAATGGTCGCTATCATTAAAAGCTAACGGAAAAACTTCATAAAGGTATCCTGAACTATAGCATGATTTTATCAGTTACCCTCACATTTAAAACTTCCCCTTGTCATATAAGGATGTTCTAATATAATCCTTTCATTTCCTTTTCATTTAAAACATTCATTTTTCTTCCCCATTCTCTAACTATTCTTTCTACCTCTCCACTTGCAATTTTACTGAATATTCCACAACTTTTCTTAACCTATATTGCAATATATTATAGGATATTTAAAATGGGTGGAGAGTGTATGAATAGAAAAGGATAATCAGACTTTACTCCATAAGTTGCCATCTCACTGTAGTCAACTATTCATACCAAAAATAATGTAGTCATCAAAAATATGCTCACTAAAATAGAACTATCCCTTATAATTTAAAAAAATAAAAAATAAAAAATGTATCATTAAAAAGAAAGGAAGTGAAATCTTAAATTAGAGGGGAATCAAACAATATGGAAAAAGGGTTCATGAAATTAAGATGTAACTTTAATATTAGCTTAATTTTGAAAACAATACACATTAAAACAAAATTGAAAAAGATTAATTGATTGGTAAGTACTAATCGTATAAAACTATTAGCGATTACAATAGCAACCCAAACTAGTATAATACCATATAATGATCGCAAAATACCATACAAGTGGTCATATAGTAGCAGGAAAACCATAATGCCAAGGAAAGGAAGAAAGACACTTGTGCTTCAATAGTAATTCACAAAGCACATGATACAATCTGATTCTGTGAAGATAATTCAGATGTATAGCAAAGAAAGACCGTACAGACTTACCAACATGATGGCTAGAAAGGGCGGGCTCAAGAAGTTTACGACAATCAATCAGAGTCACCACAGCATACTTCTCCCATTCACCATCAGGAAGGCATTTGGACAACCGTGCAGCAATCAAAGCTGCTGCTGACAGGGCACCACATAATTTAATCCCTCTAGTCTTGCATCCCTGAAAATTTGAATCAGTAATCTTTAAGCAGGTCCTTCCTGAAAGAATTGCATGCTCACAACTCTTTCCTTCTGAAGCGATATGTCAAATAAGCATGAACCAATATTTAACATTCATGAACTAAAAATTATGATGCAAACATGAGTCAACATCACTAGCCTCAGGCTGCACCGTGAAATAGAAATTAGCTACTGCTCCCTTTGTGTTCCTACTTGTTACTGCAGCTCAGATCAGATCATTTTCCTGAGAAGAATTGTGGTCTTTCTGTATAATTTGATTCAATTTTCCTCCATTCTCCACCACTAAATGCAATGAACCAGATTGGCAAATGATGCTTGCTGATTGAGATCCTGCTTGGTAGGTTCTAAGCATATTATTTTCAGGCTATTTCATTGTTAGTAGATGTACAATTTGCTTCTTCTCTAATGCTATTTGTATTGTTTTGTTGTACGCCAGTTTAATTATATACCCCACTTCTTGGCACATATGATCCCATCTAGAGAATTTACCAGAAGGTGGGTTCTCACTCTTTTCAGTAAAAAATATATCATGGATAGGGTACTCCCAGATGAGCATAAAATTCAATAAAATGAGCTATAGCAGCAAAATTGAGCATATAGTTCAAATATTATGAGCATAGCATATATGTTTGTAATCTTTGAGCTATAAGTTCATAAATTTTGAAGTATATGTTATATGTTCATTTAGGACCATGATATAATCATTGGGTTTTCAGGGTTTCTAATACTACATTAAGCTTTTGATGAAACTTAAATATGTTTAGGGATTGCCTACATTGGGTGAAAAAAGGGGTAAAAGTTAGGGCAGTAAAAACTATGGGCTGCAATCATAGGCCTGGATTGAGGTTAAAGTGTTTCGCCAGTAGATTTCGCCTTCATATGACTGATATGAGGGAAATTCGTTACTCTACCCCCCCCCCCCCCCTCTCTCACTGTAATAACAACCCACATAATAGTTCAGCCCCAACAATCAGTGTCTCTCTCCTCTCCTCTTCTCTTTTATTGATTAATTTAGTTTGTAATCTTTGAGCTATAAGTTCATAAATATTGAAGTATATGTTATATGTTCATTTAGGACCATGATAGGGGTTTTCAGGGTTTCTAATACTACATTAAGCTTTCGATGCAATTTAAATATGTTTAGGGCTTCCCTACATTGGGTGAAAAGAGGGGTAAAAGTTAGGGCAGTAAAAACTATGGGCTGCAATCATAGGCCTGGATTGAGGTTAAAGTGTTTCGCCAGTAGATTTCGCCTTCATATGACTGATATGAGGGAAATTCGTTACTCTACCCCCCCCCTCTCTCACTGTAATAACAACCCACATAATAGTTCAGCCCCAACAATCAGTGTCTCTCTCCTCTCCTCTTCTCTTTTATTGATTAATTTAGTTTGTAATCTTTGAGCTATAAGTTCATAAATATTGAAGTATATGTTATATGTTCATTTAGGACCATGATAGGGGTTTTCAGGGTTTCTAATACTACATTAAGCTTTCGATGCAATTTAAATATGTTTAGGGCTTCCCTACATTGGGTGAAAAGAGGGGTAAAAGTTAGGGCAGTAAAAACTATGGGCTGCAATCATAGGCCTGGATTGAGGTTAAAGTGTTTCGCCAGTAGATTTCGCCTTCCTATGACTGATATGAGGGAAATTCATTACTCTCCCCCCCCCCCTCTCACTGTAATAACAACCCACATAATAGTTCAGCCCCAACAATCAGTGTCTCTCTCCTATCCTCTTCTCTTTTATTGATTAATTTTGTTTATTTTCGCAAACAATGCTTCAAGCCCACCAGTCTACAATTGTTTGGGAAAACTTCTACTACTGCTGATGAGATGAAACTTGCATCGCAATATTATTGTTTATCTATCATCAGAAATCTCAGCACTCCGAATCTGGTAAAAAAAAGTAATTGATTCTAAAATTCCTTCATGCCAGAAGATATTAAAAAAATGAAAAAATAAATCAATCAAAGTCTTAATCCAATAAGTGGGGTCGGCTACATGAACCAAATTTGATTATTCCGTGTAGTCATCAACAAAGATCCTCCTCCTCCATCCCTTATGATCCATTGCCTCATTCTCATGCACATTCATATACTTCATATCCTTCCTAACTCCTTCCAACCAAGTCATTTTCTGTCTCCCTCTCCCTCGTTTAACCCCTCCATGGTCCCACTCTTCGTACCGGTGCACCCTCGGGTCTCCGTCTTACATGCCCAAACCAATGACGATTTTCCCTTAGTTTATCTGCAATGTCTGCCACACCTACCTTCTTGCGAATAACCTCATTTCTGATTCTATCTCTTAGAGTGTTCCCGCACATCCACCTTAACATTCGCATTTCCGTAACCTCCATCTTTTTAATGTGCTCCTTCTTAGAAGCCCAACATTCTGTACCATAGAGCAACATTGGTCTTTATTACTGACATATTTAACTAACATCTTTGGAAAAATTAGCCCCTAAATGAGTCACTTGGTGTCCTGAACTATGTTATATGTTCAATCTAGCCCCTAAACGAATTTATTACTCAATAAATTTTCCTAGCCCTCCTAATCATCATCCTGATTTCCAATGTACCTGAATTTCACACAGACATCTTAAATATCTATCCATATATGTCTAATTCAACCAGGGATGGGTTTGTATGGAGATTGGAGAGGCTGGATTTTATAATTGTGTTCTTAATGTCTTAAAGATGAGTCCGAGTGAACAGCAAAAGGAAAGAATAGAGGAATGCCGCACCAGAACACAACCATCGGTAACAACAATCAGTTAATACTGCCACTTCCCTGCTTCCCAACTGCCAACCTTCCCTGCTTAACAAAGGTTAAAGAACATTGCATTTGATAATGGTCGAAAAGATGAGACAACTGTGAAATGCCAACCATGGAGCATAGAAGACCAAAATTGCCTTGAAAATTCTTTGGGGAGATATCATAGCAAACACTAACAGAACAGTGCTAGCAGCAATGCAACAACAAACATGAGAGAAGGTTTAAATTTTAAAGTATCAAACAAGGTAATAAGAGATAATTATGTGATTGATGTTGAAGAAAGCTATCAGAAAAGAATAAAAGGCGTTTTCTTTTTCTTTCAAAAAGATATGAAAGTGTTTTTTGAAAATTGATCTAGTTATAGGCACATGGTTCTAGTTTCCACCTTCCGCTCATCTTCCAATTTCTTAAATCATCCCCCCACCCCCACCCCTCCTTTTCATAAACACGATCCTCCATAGTGATTTTTTGGCTGCCAAACCTCCCTTGCAACAAGTGAAGATACCAGTGCTCACATGCTCCCATCTCCCTCCATTTTCTTCACCTGAGATCATCATCTCCTGTAAAGAACTGGTTACTGCTACTTACTGCTGCCCTAAGGATCAAGAGCCAGCCAAAATAAGAAAAAGGTCCACCTACAAAAGAATTCATGCAATGTCCAAACTATGCAGTAATATATGCCATTAGAAACTCATATCAAGGTAAGCCTTGGTGCAATTTTATTTTATTTTTTTTTTGGGGGGGGGGGGGTTGGGGGGGGGGGTGTTACAGTGAGTACATGAGACAATGCACCACAAACCATTGCTACTAGCTCAGTGTTGCTAAAAATTGTCAGTAAAGGGACTATAACAACAAACTAACTGTGGCTTTTTTTGCGAGGATGGGAGAGGTCAACATGTAAAGTCTAGATCTTCCCAAAGTCACATAATTGTAAATGAGAGGCCAGATTGCCAGACCACCGAGACAGATAACTTCTATTTTGGTTATAGCTACTCAAAGTTCACAACAATCAGGTGATCTAACTATGTATGCATTCCAAGTACATCTGAAATAGGACTGCAAACAACACTGGTTTTTTAGGGGGGGATGCAACACCTTATTTGTAAATTTGTGAGATATGAGAAGCACTAACTTCCAGCCGTTCATAATGAATTAATTACTAGTATATGGGTGAAGAATATCCCTATTTGTATGACTCAGCAGCATTACAATAACAAAGGTTTCTTAACAGACTGTAGTAACTGGTAAAGCAATACAGCACTATGTTACAAAGTGATTATATACTGCGAAATTATAGTTCAAAAGATGAAAATAGTAATTTCTGATGATCATATACTGCGAAATTATAGTTCAAAAAGACAACAATGGATGAAAGAAATGTCACTGGAGCTTCATAATAAGTTACAGTACCATCAAGAATTTCACCCTGATTGGACAACCATCCCCACCAAAACCATATATAATTCTCCAGCCAAAGCCAAGATCAAAAGTAATCCATCAGGAATGCTATGAAAAAGTTTTGCCCTGGACAGTCAAAGGCCTATCTATAATACTAACAAAATTAGATACGGATACCCAAGAAATTTTTGCTTGAATACCTTACTTAGTACCTTAAAGCAAACTTTCCTTCATCTGCAACTTTAAACCTGACAATTGTGGCCTTGGTACTACGAAAACCAACAATCTTACTTCAAATTCCTTCTGTATGATGAAATCTTCAGAAAACAATTTGATCAACCCATCATGTGCATGTGAGTTCCTTTGTTGGCTTTTTAAGCCAGAACATACAGTGAGTCTAATAAAATCCCAATCAACACATCACTCTAACAAAGATGAATGACTCGTTTCATGAAGCTAACCAAAAATATGATTAAATAGGCCAGCAACACACAGGTATGACTAGCTCCTTTAGTGTATTTTGCTTGATTGCCTTTCTAAATATCTTAAAATTAAAAATTCCTTGATTGACAGCTTAAAACCTGACAACATATAATCTATCGCTATAACCATGTCAGCCAACACCACTTCTTGCTTCAAAATCCTTCTTTTTGATAAAGTCATCACAAAACATTCAACCGACCCATCATATGTATATGCGTTCCTTTCTAAGATTTGCACATCAATAGTAGTAAGTAATAACTCATACACGCAAAAATGTTGCATCTCTCTAAAATATTGGCATTGTAGTATGCTTAATCCAGGCTTTTCTATGTTTGAGTTTCATTGTTATCATCTTCACATGATCATTGTCTCAAACTACTACAGTCATATAGCACTATCTAGGTAAAATTTCCCATTTCCTACAACTCAAATGATTACAATACTGAAAGAAACCGGAGCAATACTCAAAGCTCACAAGACGTATATTCATTATTCATACTTTCAATTCATTTCATAAGCACATATATAGTATTATACACAATACGAAATATTCCAATACCTATATCGACACAACCACTCTAAAACAAAAACCAAATGCCTCGCTCTATTAACCAAATGAGTTTAGTCAACAATACTACGATTTATATCTACACTCCTACATCGTACAATCGTCCTCCATGGTCTAACATCAATGATTCGAAAAACCATTCATGCATTACACAAGTAAGAATAACTAGCTAACAATAAAAGCAAATACAAGTCAATCAATATATAATACAATTCAACACATCATGTCAAAAACTCACAATTGAAAACAACTGAACAATGTATAGCATAATGTATATACCTCAAGTAACTTGGTGGTATGATCCGAATCCATATACAACCTAACAACCCGGGAACTACGAGGCAAATTCGGGTCCACAAACTCCAAATTACTCAACCGAAAGGAATTCAAAGAATAACCCAGCATATCCACCCCACGAGACCAAAAGGGCTTATTCGTCTTTCCACTTGGAATATACTCTTCAACCCCCAAACCCACTTCTCCCTCCTCCTCCTGGGACCCACCACCACTCATCATCAACTCCGTCAACTCCTTCATCACCGCAACCGCAGCCGTCCGATCACACGCCCCAGTATGAAGCTTAATCATAACCGCCCATTTTTCACTCTCCTCAATCTCATACACACTTGCATGCAACACATCAACCCCATCATCATCATCATCTTCCTCCGATGAACGGTCGAGATTCTTCCAGGGGTTGTCGTTGAGCTCGTGTTCTAGAAGGATCTGGAAGGAGCTGATATCAGTGTGACCCACATTGGGTTTTTGAGATAGGATGATCTGAGCCGTGGATTGAAGATCGAAGTGGTGAAGATTGAGGGACGAAGAAGAAGGGATTAGGAGAGAGAAAGTGGAGGTAGAAGGGTCGAAATGGAGTTTGGCGCGGAGAATAGGGTGGGAATTCTGGAGTTTGTGAATAGCGTTTTGGAGAAGAGTGAAATCAGGGCATTTGTTAAGGAGGAGAGATAAAACGGTTATCCCAGTGCCACCAATGGTGGCTTTGCACCAGCTGTTTTCGGTGCCGCCGATTGGGCGGATTTTCGCCGGCGGTTGATCGGAATCCGCCATTAAAGAGGAGGAGAGAGAGAGTATGAAAGAGTAATGATTGAAATAAGTTGTTTTAAGTTAGGTTTTTCGTTTTCGATTAGCTGCTATAATTGAGTAAGATTAGCAACAAATGTTAATCTAATGTCGTTATCGTTCAACAGGGAAAATTAACCGAACTAAGCTAAATTATAAAACAATTTTTTAAAATAGACTCGTGGCCAAGCTATTTATCAAACTAAACTTTTAGGCGGACAGCATTTTATACCCTGGTTTCTTAAATAAAAAAAATAAAAAATAAAAATTCAATGTGTAGAACGCTATTCAGGACAGCGTTTTACATGTTGACTTTTTTTTTTTAATTTCGTAATTTCTAATTTTAAATTTTCTAAAAAAAGTCAATATGTAAATTTAAATAAAAAAAAATAAGTTAGTTAAACGCTGCCTGATTAACTTTTTTTTTTTTTTTTTTTTTTTTTAAAAAAATCAGATACTATTGCCATGCAGATTATGATTAGTTGATTACTACTACTGTTGTACTATTGCAGTCAATAATGTAGCCGACCTAATAAACTTGCCTTTTCATATTATATTGAAGACTCTTTTCCCTCTTTTTTTTCACCTTATTTTTCTATCTTTATTTATTCACTAATTATAAATGGTTACTATATTTTGTTTTGAATTAGTTGTTGAAAAGTGTTTGATTTGAAAGTTCATAATTGATAATTATCTAAGTATGGACTAATATATATGGTTACTATAAATTTTTTTTTAATAAAAAGGAATATAAAATTAGCTTAAATAAAATGCATGGACTAATTAACGATGAGAAAATCTAATGGGACTACCAAATATCAATGTTAATATGATTTAATAACCACATTTTATAAACACGTGTAATGATGTAATCTATTGGTCATCATTAATAAAGACCCCTAAGATTAGAATTAGCATTAGGAAGGAATTCAATAAGGTGAAATGGTTAAAATATTATTTCTGATAGCTGAATTAAGCCTACGGGCCTACCCCCAATAGGTTAGGCTGCCTGGCTTAGCTTGAATCAAATTTAGGGCTTACAATGCTTGATTGGCTCAGTTACACCCCGAATGCTATTTGTCAATTGTTCAAGGAAACTTTATTCTTAGGAGTGCTAAGGGTTATTCAGCAGAAAATTGAGTAAGTCTACCTTGCATATTTATATTATTATTATTATCAGGATAAATTGACTAAAATAATCCCAACTTTGTCTCATTTGCTCAAAATAATCCGGATTATTATTATTATGATATGAATTTGCTTACAATGGTCTCAATCGGTCATCCAACTAGTTATAACAAGTTACTAGACATGTGTCAACCTATGGTTGATCTAAAAAAAAAAAAATCAAACCAAATTAAAAAATACCAAAACCCAAACCCATCCTATCAGGCCCTGCCACCTCTACCCTTCCATCCTGGAATCCGGCCACCCCCACCCTTCCCTTCCCCGATTCCGACCACCCCTTCCATATTCAGTCAGCCTACACCGTAATCAAAATCACAATCTACTTGTATTTGCCGAGATCTCAAGATGTAAACATAATTTTTTCCATCAAATATGTCTTCAGCTTTCCATAAGGAAACATAGTTTTCCCTCTTTTTGCTCCTTGGGGTATTATTTTTTTCCCTCTAATTGAATTTTTTTAGGGGGTTTAAGAAAGCGAGTAAATACATTTGACAAGTACACAAATTGATTAACTTTCACAGGATGTTCTACAATTGTAATTCTGAATTTTTTAAATTTCTTCAATCATCATTGCAAACTGGAACATCTATCTAATTTGTATAATAGTCAAATTCAAAAATCGACGAGCGAAGTGAGGTTCGCCAGGATAGGATAGGTGGGTCGCCGGGATGGTGGGGTTCGCCAAGAGCCGGCGGGGTTGGGTAAGCAGGTGAGGGGAAGGGGTGGCTGACTGACTATTTATTTCAATTAAAAAAAAAAATTGTTTACCAATCACGTGGTGACACGTGTGCAAATAATTCTAATTTACAAATGTTAACCTGTTTAGCCGGTTTCAAGTCACTAGGGACTATTTAAAATTAATAGGGTATAAAGTTAGGATTATTAAAAAATAATCAAAAGTTAGGATTATTTGACGAATGAAGCAAAGTTGGAATTAATCTTGTCAATTTTTCCTTATTATTATTATTTTTTTTTTAAAGAATGCCCCGTATGTGAATACTCCTCTCAGTCATTCAATCCCATGTTTATTTTTAAAAATCTTTTTTCACAATCTCCAATGCACATAACCATATATATAATCTCTTGTTAAAATTCAAGAGAAAATAGTATTCCGAAACAACTCTTGGAATGAATTTTGCAAGATCCTACATAGCAATAATTCTCTTCTGCAGACAAACCTAGACTTGTTCTCGATCACTGCATATACACGACAGGGGGCTCTAAGTATCTGCTAGCTTGATATCGACAGCTACATAGTCTACATTACAAATAGCCCCCACCCAAACGACCTTTGAAAAAACCTAGTTAAAACTGTGGAGTGTTGTACCTTAAATCACCCGAAAGACAATCAAATAATAGAAATCAAGTTTTACATATATCTAAACATCTTTTTAACAGTCAGATAGATTAGACTGCACACCTCAAGGTGATGAAGGTTGGCTAGCTGCGCAGGCCTTCTCTGAAGAAGAATAGAAATGAGATTCAAGTTCTTTGAGACTAGCTGCTGCCTCTTCCCCAACTCTACCCAAAGTAACGTCTGTTTTTTCTGTCAGCTTATTGAATTCGCCAATACGTTGTTCTACATGGTCATTGAGCGATGCAAATCCAGAAAAGATAGCAGTCTGCTTCAATTCTGACACCAACTTTAACAATGAGTCGGCTGCTTGGACCTGTTAATCAACCAAAAACATACAAGTGGAATAAAGACAATGAAGATGTATACAGAATAACAGAGACATTGTACCTGAAAAAATATGTATACAGAGACAAAGGAATCGAGTGGCAATTCAATGAAGTTCAGGGACGAGAAAAAATGGGGAAGAAAAAGACAGACTATCTACCAGATAGTTTCTTAATTACAGTTTTTTCCAGGAGAGAACTAGGCAACTTTCTTCGCTGTGTTTCTTACAACAGAGATTTCCACTCAAGAGAACTAGTACTTGCTAAAAAAAATAAATAAACTTAGGGATCGAGATTATATGAGATAACGTATAATGATAATCTTGGTATTAAATCACAACCATGTCACCGCATCAGGATGACCCCATTATAAAGGTTTTTGTGCTTACTGTAACTGGGTCCCTGAGATTGTAGGCTGCAAACCCTCTGCATTGCCCGACATGCTTGCGAATGTAGTTCTGTGATCCCAAATTGAATTCGAGAATTGAAGTCATGATGACAATAATATATATACACTCTGAATATGGCAACAAATTGCTCATCACCCAGCAGTTATCAAGGTTTCTAACTAGTCTTTCAAATGCCTTAGGCCAAAAGATAATAAAATATAGTAGGTGCTAGTGGTCGAGTCCCAGGATCTCACAGCAAAAAATATAGATTACAAGGAAGCAAAACAAGAGGTCATTCTCAAATCTCAAAGTAGACCGATACCTCAAACAGGAAGATTATCATGAAGTCTATTAAGTACGAAAGAGCAAATTGTTAACATATGTGTTATGCAATAGATAGTCATAATTCTTTTGTCAAATGCAAGTCAGGTTATGTTAGACTCATGCACTTATCAAGCTCAAGCAGCAGGAACAAAACTGTAATTGAATAAAGGGATACAACAAATTTCGCATATGAAGATTATGCTAGGTGAAAATATTGATCAATATAGAGGAGAAAAAAGGAACAATAAGCTGAACTCAGTATAACAATAAGCTGAACTCAGTACAAGTAAAACTTGAACAATCAGCTGCTGATTGCCACCTTCTTAAAAAAAAAAAAAAAAAAAAAAGGCTGCTGATTGCCATCTTAAAATCTTATATTCTAAAATTATAGCAATGTATTTTTTATTTTTTTTTTAGGAATTTTCACAAATAGTCTCCTATCACAATATAAATATCCAACACAACCTAAGAAATCTTCTTAAGTTCCTTTCTCACCTGGGTTTCTATGGGTAATTCAGATGGTTTTTCTGGTTCTCACCTTATAACCGTTTTCTTAACTCTCGTGCCCCCCCCCCCCAACCACCACCACCACAAATGGAATGGAGGAACTATGGGACAAAGTACAACTTGGATAGATTTCCATAGCAACACTAATCTAAAGCAACATAGTCATTAACAGCCATGCAGCTGGGAAAATGCTGGCAATATATTGAAAAATTACAAGTTCTAGACAACATTGCAACACAAAGAAATTTGGAGACAGACAGTAGGCTTAAGCCTTGTGCCTTAATATTGTACTGCATATAACTAAGATAATAAGATTATGCTCTCACCATCCTGGCTGCACGCACTTCCATCATGAAAGCTTCTTGTTGATTTCTGACGGGTGGATCATTTACCTACAAATTTAAGTGATTCAGAGACTTCAATAGATACTAATAACAGTGCCTTACTAATGACATAGCTAATGACACATTGTTAGCACTTCAAAAGGAAAGTGAAATTTAGGCATAGCTTTCATGTTTAATAGTGAATGCTGGATGATTTTAACAAGCATGACGCTTCTATCAGGTACAGATTAACTTTACAAAGCAGGCATGATATAAGCTAATTGAGAAAATTAAAAAAGAAAGTCTTATCCAATTAAAAAGTAGTAAAGGTTCTGACTTATGCCACTGCAGAAGCAGTCATCCTGAAAAATGACCACATTTCATTACTATGTAAAGAAGCAGCAGCAGTTTGGTTTGAGTGGTATGGGTTTGGAATCAGGAATGAGATTGGAGTGATATGGGATTGGGACGTGATACTTAATACTGTGTGTTAGGTTTTGTTGGGAAATGAACACTTCTTTTTATATGATACCTGAAAGTATGGTACTTCGTATGAGCCATACCCCTCTTCCCCCTTTGGTTTCTAAACCCATACTTTGTGTGTTTAAGGTATGAGTTTGGAAATTGGTATCTTGTTAAACAAACACAAGGTATAGGTTTTACCTATTCTTAACCCATACCTTATACCTAAGTTACTTGAACCAAACACCCCTTTCATGGGAACCTTTTGGTTCACAAATTGATATGCAACATATTTGAATGAAAACCCCAAAACAGGGAAGCATAGATTGAAATTTACATACTAAAGCCTTCATGTATTTGAAGCAACCTCTGAATTTTTTTATAAAATTAATGTTTGGTTCACACTTGAAATAAAATAGTCTTAAATTAAACAAAAAATTGACAGTCACCCAAATCAGGCAAAGCACAGCTAAGATTACTCAAGCTGAAACTAAGCATGCATATCTCGAAACTAATCAACAGTATATGTTAAATAAAATCCACAAATTACTACTGTACATAAAAAGGAGGTGAAGACAGACCCGGGAAACATTGACAAGAACAGTGAAATTGTCAACAAGATTGGAAACATCAGTTTCAACTCTCTGCAAAAGAGCCTTCTGCTTCTGTGTGGCTGCAGCAGCAGCAGTGGCTGTAGGTCCACCTCCACCACCTCCTTTATTCATTCCAGGCAGGGCAGGAGGGGCGGCCGCCCTAGGCCCAGGAAAAAGAGATTTAATTTCATATTCAATTATCTCCAAAAATACATAATTTTAGGGATATTTGATTCAATAATCAAATTACGCTCATAATTTTCTTTTCTTTTGGATATGATGTTTCATAATCTAAGAATTTACGAACCCTAAACTTAAAGCACTGATAATTAAATTAGATTAGATCAAATATAAACCCTAGATTATGAAATTGATGTGATGATAACAACAACAAACAACTTACCTTAGAAGCTGCTTCAATGGGGTATACAATAATTAGATTCAACGGAGAACGCTTCAATGGAGAACGTTGAGTGCGCTTCAATAAAATAACTCAGAGAGATAGGAAATAGGAATGGAGGCCTTTAAAAGCCATGACCCGCCATAGTTATAAAATGTGGGTCTGATAAATAAATGGGGCGAATCTTTATATGATCGTCTAATTATAAGACAGGTAGGCTATTTAAAGATTTTGAGTAAACATATTTTAAATATCAATAATATATATATATATATATATATATATATATATATATATATATATATATATTTATATTGTATACTAAAAGACACACCAAATGACACGTGTCAATTCTTGGTGTGTCCTTAAAAAAAAAAAAATTGTAGAATAAAATCTTATACGAAAATAATTTATTATATATGTCAATAACAAAGATAATTACTATTAATATAAAAGATTTGATTCACCTTTTCACACAAACATTTATAACTATAATAGAAAATATTATTATGATTTGCGACATGTAATGATTTACTACACGAGAGTATTTATATTTTTTTCCCCTAAAGTTGTTTATTTATTGATTAGAATTCACAATCATTTCCTAATTCCTACACCCGGGTGCATGGTGCACCCGGCCCAAAACGACACCCCTTTCTTCATTAAACGCAGGTCGCATTAAAACCTCAAAAAAAAATAAAAAATAAAAAAAATAAAACAAAAAAAAACAAAAAAAAATGATGAATATTGTTTAGAATTAGGAAGAACGCGAGATTTTTAGGTATATTCATTAAATTTCAGAAAGAAATCAACCAAATCCCACATTAATTGTGATTGCATTGATTGATACAATCTTTTCAAAAAAATTAAGATTCCAGAATAATATTTTTTCCAAAATTATTTTCTTCAAAATATTCCAAGATTTTATTTTTAAAATTCAAATTCAAAATTTAAATTCAAAAATTCATTTTCATATTTAAAATTTCAGTTACCAATATTTTATTTGATTTTCTTAAATTTAAAAAATCTCTACCAAAATCAATCATATTCTTTCAACAATTTTTTTATGTAATTATAATAATATTCGTTATAATAATAATGGTCATGTGTAATTCTGGTGATGTTCTTTATATATATTTTTATAATGTTCTTTATCAGAAAATATGATGTACTTTATTTTTGTATGTAAAGTACAATTAATTATTAGCACTATTTTTCTTCCATATGTCCACTATTAATTATGATCTTTATTAGATCTTTTGATAAAATATTTTAAATGTCCATGTTCTCTAACTGTAATTGTAATGTACATTTAGTGTCAGATAATATCTATTGCTTATTGTGAAAATGTTCTTTAAATTTTTGTTTGCACCATCCTTGTTAAATTTAAATATTTTAATTCAAGTAGTGTTTATTACATAATATAATCATGTTCTTTGTAAATGTTTTAGATGTTCGTTGGATCTGAAAACCAATCATCAATATATGATGTCCAAAAAGAATATCTCCATCAACCATCGTGATCCTGAAAAAAAAATGTACACACTTATTTAATGTTGTTAACATAAAAAAAATATAAATTTAATAAATAGTATTGAAGATGAATAGTTTAATAATTAAAAATGACGTAAAAACTAATTTTAAAATAATATGTACTATATCACTCAATATCCAAAAGAACATAAGAGTTAAAACAAACGAACATGAACATAGAAGACCATATTATATTATTCAAGTAAAAAGAACATAGTTCATATTATTGAAACACAAAGAACATTATACCTTAAAGAAGATAATTTGTAATGTAAAGAACTATAGTTTAGACTCAAAGAACATATTAATTGGGCTTAAAAAAACATATTCCATTACAATTAACAAATTGAATGCATGATAAAGGAACATTCATCATAATTAGAAGAACATCATCTTCAACCTTTGAAAATAATTCCCAAAAAAAAAAAAAAAAAAGCACACCAATTTCCTTTGATTATGAAATAATCCACAAATTAACAAATGAAAAGATAATCGATTAACCAATTTACCTTCATTTTCGTTTACGATATCCTCGAATTCACCTTCATTGTTGATATCATCATCATCATCACCAACAAATCTAGCATCAGAATCATCATAACCACGCCCTGCGCAAGTTCTAGGGCTGCGCGCGCCTTCTGCTGCGAGACCATTTTGATTCTTCGTGAACTATTGGATCGTCCAAACAATATCGTTATTTATGAATTGTTGAAAGGCGATGATGTCTCTTTGAACGTAATTTGCGTCTTTTTTTGTTCCTTTCACTTTCTTTTCTTTTCTTTTCTCAAAGCAAGCGTGTCAGTTTTCTTAACTTCTCGTACTTCCTTTAGGGCTGGTTACCAAGCTTGGGAACGAAGACACCCGGGCACTCGCATTCTACGTTTACCATCATACAATCCACCCCTTTCGAACCATCTCCCTTTTTCAACTCATCCTAGTCCAACAATGTCAACCATTGAACAAATCCAAGAAGAGATTATTCGCATGAGAGAGGAAAAGGATCAAGAAGCTGAGGCTAGAAGAAACAAGAAATTTGAAAAGGTCGAAAGGAAAGAGGCCGAGGCATTAGCCATAAAACAAAAAAATGGATGCTTTAGCCGAACGAGAGAAGAAGTTAGAGAAATTTGTCCTTCGCTCTACTATGGGGAACAAGTACTTTGACGCAGAAAAGTTTGCTCCTCCTGTGGGACTTACTTTTCCTAAAAAGTTTGTAGCTACAGACTTGCCAATATTTAAGGTGACCAATAACCAAAAAAATCATCTAATGAGTTTTACTGGCACCATGGCTCTAAATGGAGTTGATCCTAAGCTCTATGCTTTGACATTCCCTTTATCTCTAGACCCAGTCGCAAGAGAGTGGTACTATGGGCTAGATGCCAAATTCAAAAACACATGGGAAGATGTAGTTTTCGGCTTTCATCGCCCAATATGAGAGTAACGTAGAGTTCAAATCAACTTTGCGTGAACTTGAAATGCTTAAGCAAGGCGACGATGAAGGTTTCCTTGCTTTCTATGGTATATGGCTAGAAAAAGCGGCTCACCTTGCCCAAAGGTCGCCCGAACTCGAGTTAGTAAAAAAATTCATTGACAATTGTCATGAAAAGTACAACAAGCATCTATGCTACCTTGGTCTAGATACTTTTCAAAAAGTCTATTCCGTGGCCACTAGGATTGAAAATGATCTTGCCAAAGAAAAGGCAAGCAAGCCTCATCATCATCAACCTAAGAACAACTACAAGAAGGGGAATGATAACACTTCATCCTCTATTGATGTTTTTGCAACGTCCACACAATATAATAATAACGATCCTCGAAAAAGGTGGACAAGAGAAAGAAAATTCACGCAATTCCCTTTAGCTTATAAAGAATTGTTAGAAAAATTAAATGAAAAAGGATTACTCTCACCAACTGGGCGAACGCCTCCTCCTCCCATAGAAAGAAGAAATCCTCAATGGGATGACAATGCTTATTATACTTATCATTAGGGGTGAGCAAAGATCTAGGGTACCTGGTACCGGACCCGGAACTGGTTAGGACCCGCCGGGTCCGGACCCAGAACTGGTCTCACCGGTTCCGGGACTGGGTCCAAAATTTCGGATCCGGTTGTAACCGGTTCCGGTTCCAAATCCTAAAATTTTGGACCCGGTACCCACTGGGTACCCGGTTGTATATGATATAGTATGTGGATTGTTTGTGTTTTTAAGAAACTAAAGTGTTATGTACAACCCATTTTAATTTCTAAGCCCAATTGCTTATAAAACTCTCAACCCACTATCAAACAAAATCCTAAAACTTCTAGATTTTTCTCTCGCTCTACTATACCGGTTACCCAACATATATTGTACAAAATATATTTAAAAAAACAAAAATATGTTGAATGTAACTAATTAGTAAAATAAAAAAAATAATATTAATATTTAATGTAAGAAAATAGCTTAATGTATATAAAAATATAAGTATTAAACGCTAAAAGTAAAAATAAACCAAAAAAAATATTATGATTGTATTATATTTCAACACTTATATATATAACTGGGTACCCGGAATCGGAACCGGTACCCGGTGGAACCAATTCCAATTCCTAAATTTTAGGACCCGATTGTACCGGTTCCAATTCCGATTCCAAATTTTAGGACCCGGTCCCAACCAATTCCGGGTTTGGATCTTAAAATTTTGACCGGGTACCCGGTTTGCTCACCCCTACTTATCATAGGGGTGTTGGACATGATATTGAACGCTACTTTGCTTTGAAACACAAGATTCAAGATCTAGTAGATGTGGGAAAATTCCCACGCCTAAGCGGCTAAGCCTAATAATAATGTTTCCCCATTGGGAATATTTCATATCGATGAGGACCACATGACACTAGGCGAAAAATGTAAATGAGCACCGGTTCAAAACCCCCCTTTAGCACCGGTTTTGAATCGGTCCAGATTTGGGGGATGCCAAAAAACAGAAGCATTCCTACCGGTTCAAAACTGGTGCCAATTCTAAGATTTCACACCGGTTAACCGGTGCGAATTAAACTTTTTGGCACCGGTTAACCGGTGCTAAAAGTTACCTGGCGTGCTTTTTTTTTTTTTTTACATATAATTGGCACCGGTTAATCGGTGCCTTTAACTGTTTTTTTTTTTGGCAATAAGTAATAATATTAATACCAATAATAATAATAATAAAAAAAAACCTGTACATCCTGCATTAATTCTACCATTATTATAATATATTATAATAACAATAATAATTATTATTAATATTATTATTAATATAATATTAAAAATAATAATAATAATTTCTAAATTGAAATAATAACAACAATACATAGATATTAATAATCCCAAATACAATACAATGAAGTGTCATATTTACAATTCCTCAAACAAAAAAAAAGTGTCATATTTACAAACTATACTAATTAATAATGTAGTTAAAAGTTAACAAAATCTAAATTCAAATAGAAGTGACATTTACAAATTAAAGGTGATGAAAGACGCCAACATGTCTCGAATTTCACTAAGTTCCTTGCTTGTCAACGGACCTCCCCTTTGTACCTTGCAAAACTTGGAATAAACAAAAATTATGTTAGAATTAATTACTTAGGTTATGCATGTAAAAATACATT